TCCTGCCATGAAAACACCAAGTCTCCCTAAGTCAGACACAAAATCATGGCTAAACAAACTACATTCCTTCAGCAAAAAAAGAAGAAGATAAAACGAGCCACTAATCCTCCCGTCACACCCGGCTATCGGGATACTCTGGCGGGGGCCGCGCGTTCGCTGCTGCCGCCGCCGCCCACCTGAGATGCCCATGAGGTAGACTCGGCCGCAGTTGGCGGCGGCGCCGACGATGAAGACGCCACCCAGCGCCAGGCAGATGGTGATGAGCCGCTGCCGGGCAGTGTCTGCCTCCTCCTGGTAGATGATGTCCACCACGCGGCCGATGGCAAACGGCACCGTCATGGTCACGGCGCTGGAGACCAGCAGCAGGCCCACGGCACCTGTCGCGGACAGACAGTCACGGTGGACGCCTTCTGTCGGTGCGAATGACGAACGACAGCTAGCGTTGGAGCGCAGCACGTCGGCCGCGATCAAATGCGCGAAACGTATTACCGTTAAGCAATTCCATTACGACCCAAACAGTATTTCTACGAACAACCGCTCGGCCATTTCGTACCAGAGCACAGTACAAAAGGCAGACAATGTCTGCCTTCTCAGAGCACCGTCCCAAAGAGGAATACGCCGTCCCAGAGGGGAGCATGTCATCCGAGAGGGGCACACCGTCAGAGAGGAGCATACCATCCCAAAAAAGAGCACACTGTATCAAAAAGGAGCGCACCGTCCCCTTCCTCAGATTCGTCAGCCGCCCGCCAGAAAGAACCGTTTCTCAGACCCGTCCTCCAAACCCGTCAGCCACCCGCCAGAGAGGAGCACAGTGTCCCGTCCCTCAAAGCCGCCCTTCAGACCCGTCAATCACCCGCCAGAGGGAGGGGGCACACCATCTCGTCCCTCAAAGCCGTCCTTCAGTCCAGTCAGTCACCCGCCAGAGAGGAGCACACTGCCCCATCCCTCCGACTCGTCCCTCACACTCGTCAGTCCCCCGCCAGAGAGGAGCACATTGTCCCGTCCCTCAGACCCGTCCCCCAGACCCATCAGCTGCCCATCAGAGAGGAGCACGCCGTCCCGTCCCTCAGTCCCGTCAGTCACCCGCCAGAGAGGAGCACACCGTCCTACCCCTCAGACTCGTCAGCCATCCAACCGCGGGTACCCGCCACCGCGGCCTGCGCCTACCTCCGATCCTCCAGCGTTCCGGCCGAGCCAGCGCCATGAGCCGCCGCATCTCTTGCGGCGCGAACCGCGACGCGCCGAGCTTGCCACTGCGCAGGCGCGGCGGCGCCGTGAAGAGCCAGCGCCGAAGCGGACCGGTGCCGGGCGCCACGCGAGCCGTTAGCGGCGACAGCCGCACCGCAGCCACTCCCAGCAGGCGAGCCAGCGCCATTGGCCTGTCTGGGGAGCGAGCAGCCCGCTCGCCTGCTGTCGGCGAGAGACGGCCCCATGAGGAAACTCAGCGCCACTTGCATAACGTTATGCACGACATCGTGAATGTTTGGAGTCACGGAGAAGTGGGCGGTTGCTTGGGGCTTTGTCATGGCAGTGGGAAATGGCTGTGTACTGGCAGTGTACTGATGACAATGATCAGTACAGTGTCTGCATCTTAGATCATACACTCCTGAATTACATCCCAAGCCTCTTAACCTTGCTCCTGTGTTGCCCCCATGGACCTGGACCTGTTAATGTTCTTGGAGCCCCCCCCCCCCCCCCCCACGAACCTGAGATCACAGCATCTGCTTGAAAGATCAGCTGACATAGAGCCCAAAACGAACCAGTGTGGTTCCATACAGCAGCAAAAAACAATCTCTAAGCATTTGCTGTTGAAAAGGTGACATCAGAAGCCTTAAATAGGCATAACTACACACAAATTCCAGCTTTTTGAGATAATGACTAGAAATGTTTGAAAAAATAGTGAAAACTTTCCAAAAGCAATGCCTGTTTCAGGTTGAGCAGGTAAATTAATCATTAAAAATCACTTTCATGTAGATTTTATCCAAACATTTTGATATGATGGATTGCTGGGTGGCTGCAGTCAAATGACATTGGTATATGCTCAACCCCTTGGATGCACAAGCACTGATTCCCACAACCCAATTATAATATTCTGAGTTGATAACATTATTTTGTGGTGGAATTTTAGTGTTCTGCAATGCTTGGTATAATTTGTAGTATGATTAATAGTAGAAAGGCACACAAAATTGCAACTAATAAATGCAAGCTGGGCACCTTTATTTTTGTCAGAAAATAATCACAGAAAATGCCTGAACCTAGAGGTCATAAGTTAATGTGCATGCCATATAACACCAGCAGCACATAACCGAACACTTATCATGTCTGGGTTACATCTCCAGAGCCTTGCGGTGCAACTACAAACATTGGTTACTTTACACCAGCCATATTGCAATGTTCAGTCACATGGGTCACAGGTATATCAATATTTGTCATACTATTACAACTCCAGGTTAGGTCTCACTGTCTGTTGCCCCTGCCCCTGCCCAAATTCAGTCAATCAGCATCAGACAGATTGGTAGCTGCCCCAGCATCCAACCATCTCAGGCTTGATTAACACACGCTCTGGTGGGGTTGGGTCAAATTGACCCCTCCCAAAGGTATCCCGGAGTGGCTTCCAAACTGTGTGGCTCATCTGTGCCAAATTTTGCAGAGCTGTAGACAATTAAGTGGTCAACCGTTTGGCACAAAAAATAAGATACACCTTGTAGGGTTGCTGACTTATGGCAAATCAAAGTCAAGCCACGCTTTCAGCACAGTCAATTCCTATGGAATTGTTCAATCTGAGTGAGCAACAACAGAGTGTTATACAAAGGCATAATCTCTGAGATGCTTTCTTAGGTGATGCAAATATTGAATGACCAAACTACATCGACCTAAAGTCAGGTATAAAGGCCAGACAAAGGTCAAAACCAACTTCTTTTATTACTCTTGTGCTTGCTGTATGGGAGTTGCTGGTGCTTGTTTCAACTCTATTGATAGCAGGAACTGCATTATACACCTTTTATAGACTTCTTAGAGGTCAGAATAGGTCATTGACCTAAAATGACCAAGGTGAACATTTTGTTTGTAGAAGCATACTGCCTAGCATAATCTTTGTTGTTTATTCAAATGCAAAACTCTGAGCAGTCTTGCATGGTTTTGTCACCATGGCCTTCAAAAGGTCAAAAAAGGTCAGTGACCTTAACTGAGCATGTGAGCTTTTGGTTAAAAACAGATATCTAGATTCTGAGGGCACTTTGGAGACCAGCCTGGAATTTAACCTTGCTTCCCCCTTATGTCACCCAAAGATCATGGCCGAGGAACATCAAACTTTGACCTGAGTGAGTTCACATACAGGTCAACATGTCCTGAAAGTTAGGCATCTCTAGCGTTTTTAGTTCCTGAGAACTCAGGAGGAGGGGTCAAATTGACCCTTCCCACATGAGTAAAGGGTATCTAGCCAGCTACTCTAGCATGTGTTCATGGGCCAGGCAGGTTAGATGTCTGGATTCAGGATCAAAGGGTAATGAATCAGCTTCAATAAATTGTGTACAACCTGTGGCAATGGCTCACAAACCAGAGCTGATGATGATGATGTGAGCTGTGGGGTACACTAATTTAAATCACCATATGGTGCCCATAAGACAAGCAGGCTTCTGGAAGCATGAATTTCTTTTTATATCCTAGAAACCCTAGATAATGAATTTTGGAATAATGAGCACCAGTGGAGCTCAATCTGCTTTAGAGCCACTTAATACATCACAAAAACAAAGTCAAAATAAACAAAATATTCTACAATGGTTCAACTCTACTTAGAGGGGCATATGCCAGAACAAAAGTTACATCAGTTTCAACAAACCTAGCATTCCAATACCAATGGTCAGGTATTTTTACACTAGCTTTAAATGCTGCTGCGCCCTGAACCATTTTTCCTATCCCGAATGCAAAGGTGTCAGGTGATTATTATTCTTTAGTCTCCAACTAACATTTGAAACTGCAGTTGATGTCACATACGATGTGGAGAACAAATAAAGCTCTTGCTTGGTACGTGCAGGTTCAGAACATGCTCACGCGAGTGGAATGAGCCTCATCGCATCATCTCATGAAAATGAGCGTCACTATTGGCTGGGATGCAGGGCCATCTTGAAAAGTGGTTACGAAGTCAGAGCATGCATTGTTGCACCCGTGTGGACATGACAGCAGAGACCAGGGCGTTAAGTTGCTACTCCTTGCTCTCCCTCCCCCCTCCAACGTACCTCTGATCCCAAACACCTACGACTTATGCCTTGCGCCTCCACCAAATCACCCAAGAACACACTGGGGGATGCTCTAGGTATATCCCCGTGGTTTGTTTACTCCCTTTCGTCGCCGTAGCGCCATGTTAACAGGTTTTGACGTCAATTGAGCATTAAAGTACAGCCGGGATTAGTTAGCAATAGATATTTGCAATTTTTCAAGTCTTATTTCGATGGGTTATTTGTCTTCCTATAAAAACTCTCGATGCTATATTTCATCATATTCACATTTGTGGGTCTGTTTGGTCTCAAATTCAGACGGTGCACCGTGCATGGCTGTACCGTGCTACGGGCTGTTCCACGAGAATATTAGAAACTATTATCTAGCAAAAGGCGCCGAGGCTGGTAAGAAACCTTGTAATACACTTAAATAATGCAGTAGAATATACTCAAGCACACACACACAATGCCTTTCTATATGTTCAATTGAGCTTACCGCCGCATAAACGCTGGACTTCATAAGGGTGATACGTGTTCTGTTCGTCACAAAATAACGATATGGTTTCATTAAGCCTTGCAAAATAGTTTATTTACAACGTCACAATATTTTACTGCTCCCAAAGACCCGGGAATGAGTTAAAGTTTTGTTATTTGCTGTAGCCAAATTTCGTTCCAAAAAATTAAAGATATGTCGCCCAGCTCTATTTCAATCGATCCAAAGGAGTATTTATAGCGCTTCTGCGACGATACCCCAAGGCCTTAGTGTGTAAACAATGTGAGGGGGCGGGGTGCGCAAGTTAAAATGATTTCTTTGCACAGATCTCATTTGTGGTGTCTTTAACCAGCAGACATAAGCCACAACCCTTCAACCACAGAGCAAGATGGGCACTCGAGCGGCTGCATGTAAGTGCGCTTTTGTCTCCACACTGTCGCAAGCCGAACCAAATAATGCATGGGAACATTGAATAATCTTTATTTGACGGGATCCTAAAAGTTCATGCATGCATGGGGCGAAATATTTTCTGCCTTTTCTCCCGTCATTGAGTTTTTGGGATTTTTGTCTGCAGTACCATGAACCCTGGGTCCTTTCAGCCTGTTATGCTACTGGCCCACCAAACACTATCTGCGGAATAGCAAGACATGATTTGACACTTCTTACTTGATTTTACAAAAATATTGTGAGCTGCACTTTTAAAAACAGGACTTAAATGCTGATATTATCTGCTTATGTAGTGCCTACAAAATTTATAAGGTTTTCAAATTATTAAACTTTGGCTGCAGTGTGCCAGATGTAGACTTAATAGGGGCTTGCTTAGGAGCTTTTGACATTCCAAGATCATTGCTAGAATTTGTTTTATATCACATTGCCAGAAACATGTGTATCATGGTTGACCTAGCTCCATCACAGGCCAGCAGGAGTTTTTTTGCTCGGGCAGCTTGCTCCCTGTTTGAAAACATGCAATAATGACCAGTACATAATTTCAGTCACTGCGAAGATCAAGAATCTGCAGGACTATTATCTGCGTCTTCTGCATGGAATACCATTACCATCAGAGCTGGATATTGCCTGCACACTGAAATACTTCTCTTTGACACTTATGGGTGAGTAAAGTAGATTTGAGGTGGAAGGATTCTGATTTTATGCCTTAGCTCTGTTGTGCCAAGGTGAGAAATGACAGCCCAGAAAAACACCACAATAGTAGTGCTGTATTAATCTAAAAGAGGACCATGATTATCCTGCACATTAGAGTTGTGGGTCATTCTGTGGGTGAGCAGCCCAGTGAGGGACAGCCCCATCACTGACCTGTCCCTCTGAGCAGGCGTGCTAAAGGACGTGCCTGAGGCACCGCTGGTGATGCTGCGCCGGCCTGACCAGGACGCCACACGGCTGGCGCTCTACCCCAGCCTTGACTACACTGGACTGCACCGTGCGCTGGTTCAGCTGTTCGACATCGTCCCACTCCTACAGTACGGCGTGCACGGTCAGTGGCTGGTCCGCCGCCGGTCCGCTGGTCCTCCCGGGCACCAGCGGCGACTGGGGGTGTTGCGGCCGAGGAATGGGTGATGATGTTGGGGAAGTTGCCTGTACCTCGTGGAAAGGCGTGGGTGATGCCGTTCGACCAGTTTCTTCTCCCTGCTGTGACGCAATATCATGTTGTGTCTTATATCCTGTGACCAGGTATGAGGTGTTCTTTTGTAGTAATCTCGATCCTATCCATCATTCTGTCACACTATCATATATGCAACGCCGCCTGGGCTGTACTATGTGCCGGTCGCTACGGCGCACCATGTGTCATGACCTGGTGCCTGCCGCTTACACATCCCTGTTTGGGCGGCCAGGGTTCGGCCAGTCGCTGTTGCACACCATGTCGTGCCTGGTGCCGTTTCTGGAGCACAGCCTGATCGACACGCTGCCCTACCTGGTGGCCTCCAGCCTGGCCACGTTCCCCGTGTCGCTGCACCGGGACATCGTCAACACACTCTGCCATTACCTGCTGCCGTTCACGCTCAGTGAGTCGAATGCAAGTTTCGTGGTGTGGCATCAGATGTCCTGTCAGTTCCAAACCGCGGTACGGTTTAGGAAATCGATATTCAAATGATACTGCCGCGTTACTTTTTCAGCTGTGCATTGCTTTTTGCTTCAGTTGTTGCAAAAAATAATGCGATCAATTTCCCAAGACGTTTTACCACAACGCTGAGTGAACAGGGCACGTTGGTTCCTCTCATGCTCATCAAAACATTACCCCACATTAGCCTCTTATCCCCTATCCTGCTTCATCCTGCATCCTCGTGACACGCCGCTTGTCCGGGGCAGGCTGCATGCGTCAGCCACATTGGGCCAACAGCCCCGCAGGAAGAGGACCCCGACCGGGTACCCAGCGCGCATGCGCGGGATAAAGCTCGTCGGTTGCCCCCCCCCCCCCCCCCCCGGCGCATGCAAGTCTTCTCCACCGTTAACCATTTTCCTCTAGCCCACAGCCCTGAAATGATCATTTCTGTTCGAAAGGGCTCTAATAAAGCAATTGCCACACATAACCGACTTGTTTTTATGTGCTGTGCCGTTGTATATATGTAGACACTGGCATCCGTGTGTAAATGGCTTACACGTTTTCAGGCCCTGATGTAGAGAATTATACTTCAAGCTCCATCACGGCCATCGTCATGGTGGTGTTCCAGTATACTGACGTCACAGGTAGGGACTCGTACCCCAAATGTCTTAATTGTTGCCGTCTTTTGTGTGTTGTGACTGCTTATTGCTTGCGTAAGTGCCTGCTTATTGCTTGCGCCTTTTGTGTGTTGTGACTGCTTATTGCTTGCTATAAGTAGGCTTTTTGTAAACTTGCGTCATATCAGTGGCTGAAGACATGCCAACATAGTCCATCCCTTTTCTGGTTTGTAGTCGCCGGAATGTCAAGCGTTACCAATGCAAGCATGGCGTGTGGATGGGATGCCGAAGCTAGGTTTAGCAAAATAGGTCGTGTGGTTAGCGTACGTAGTCTTGATACTAGTAGCGCAGGCAGGGGGGCACAAGGGGCATGTGTCCCCCCCCCTTAGGTTCCGAGGGACCCGGGGGGTCCTCGGAACCTGCGATTAAGGGCCCGAATAGCCAGCCGGAGGTCTCATTCAGGGGCTTGGCCCGCAGGGCCAGGCACTCCAATGCCAGCCAGAGGGCTCTGCGCGCTGATCAGGGGCCCACTTAGTTGATAAGGGCCTATATTTCCGTCAGACTCCACCAGTAACGCACAGTCGGCTCCGTGGCAGCATGGACCTGAGGGCCCATTTCCCAAGCAGGGGCAAAGCCGTAGGCAGCGATCTACATTGATTGGGCCCTACAGCGTCTAGCAGGGGCGCTCTGTTGCCAAGGGGTCCCAAGTCACCCAGAGACGGTTTTTGAGGAATCCCGAACAGCTTACTTGGCCCACAGGTCCAACGATCAGGGGCCCGATTGGATGTTCCAGGGGCGTAAAGGGCTGGTCGGATCCTTATTCAGGGGCCGCGACGTGCGAACACGCGCGAACACGCGACGTGCGACCCTTTACGCAGATCAGGGACCCCTGAGTCGATATAGGCCTATATGTCGGCCGGGCGATACCAGTACCGCACAGTCGGCTCCTTGTCAGTATGGGCCGGAGGGTCCACTTATCAATCAGCTACAAAGCCGGAGCCAATGACTTGCACTGGTCGGGATCTCCGTGTCTGTTAGGGACTCACAGTGTCTAACAGAGGGTCCTGTGCTCTCAAGGGACCCCGCGCCGACCAAGGGCAGTGTTTGATGAGACTCGAAGAGGGGCTGGAGTGGCGCGCTGGACCCGACGATCAAAGGCCCGGTTGGAAGGCGTAACGACCCGAGGGACTGGCTGTAGGTCTCAAAGAATCGCGGCTTGTAGGGTAGTGACCTGAAACATCAGCCAGTGGCCCTATTGCAACGTTTGAGGAACTCCTGAGACAATACGGATGCGTAAGTCGGTCAGAGACCACGAACACTGAGAAGTCGGCTCCACGTCCGTCTGAGACCCTGGGACCCATTACCCAAGCAGAAACGAGGCCGGGCCAGCGATTTGAAATGTCCGGGTTCCCTGACACAATGTGGGGCTCCTGCGTCGGTTAGGTGCCACAGTGCCGAACAGGGGTCTTGTGGCGGCAATTGTCCCCGGGTCGGGGCGGTGTTTGAGGGGCCCAAAGAGAGGCCGAAGGGTCTCTCGAGACCAAAGATAAAGGGCCCAACGGGGTGACTGAGGGGTCCGAAGGGCCGGCTCTAGGTCACATTGAGGACCCCCTCCCACAGGACCGTAATCTCAAATGTCAGATGATCTCTTGCACCGATGCGAACCCCTGAGACAGGGTGTTCTTCTCTATCGACGAGAGATTACAAATAACGAACAGTCGCTTCCTTACTGGTCTGAGCTCTGGGGGCCCGTTTCTCAAGCAGGGACAAGGCCAGGCCCCCGATTTGCACTGGTCGGGTTCTTGTATCGTGCAGGGGCCTGCAGTGCCTAACAGGGCATGCCGTGTCAACGAGAGGCCTCGAATCGGTCAGAGGAAGATTTTCTCAACAGGAACGGGCACGGGAGCCTGAATGAGAGAGGATCTCTTACGTTGGTCGGGGCCCTCTGACAGTCAAAGGGAACATAAGAACTTGTGATGAGTGCTCACATTGAGGTACTAGAAGAGTCCTTTGCCAGTCAGGGCTCCACTACCGAACGGTGGACGCTCCGACCCTATTCCAGTATGGGCCATTTAAGCCCCACTGGAGTGTATGTGTTAAACATTTGGCTACCGGCGGCGAACAGGGATGTTGCTGCGTTAATGACGGCTCATGCGTCGATCCGTGGCCAATTGCACGGGTCTGAAGGCCTCTCGTGTCAGGGAGCGGACCAATAGGATATGATGTATCCCTCTAATGGCCTCCGGATCGGCCAGGGGATGCCTCCTCGTGTCACTAGAGTGACGGCCAGAAAACACACCGCGGTGGGACAGAATGGCGCTGCACCCCTTGACCGGGAACAACAATGTGCCCCGCGGTGTTTTACTTCAGAGGGTCCCTTTGCCGGGATAAAGGGTCTCATTAGTGTTGGATGGAGTGGTACCAAATGAGTTCAAAACACAAGGCCATCCCATATTTCCCTGAGAACGTTCATTATTTTGCAGAATCGGCTAGTGAAACAAATGTCATCAAAAGGTTTGAGCGTGCGCGCCGGGTGCCGGTAGTGTGGTGGTTAACGCCGATGCGTTAACCACTACACGTCTGGGAAACAGGTACGGGGTTCGATTTCCTACGGTGCCCGCCCTTCCCGCCAGGGTGAGAGGCTAGTGGCGTCACATAGCCCCAGCAACTGAGTGCGTCATCAACCCGTAATGACACGCCGGTAGTCTCGGGTAACAAGAATAGCGATGGTTTGGGTCGCACTTTTCGCAAAACCGAATGGCGTTGCCCACTGCGAGTAACCCCTGAGGGCGGGCGCCGAGCGCGCAACGATGTCCATCGTAAAACAATGTTTTTCAATGTCTTTCAAAATTGATTCGTGCAGTTCAGCAATTACACTGGGCCTTGTTGCTTACAACTTTGAGGTTGTCCTCTGGACAGGATAAACAGTTACAGCAACACGGACATTAGAGATTTCACCCTACTCTTCCACTTCCACGACCAGATTCCAGCACCACTTCGCGGCGCTGTAAATCTTAAATACCTACAGGTGAAATATACGCCCGTGATATCTCTAAATACACGATTCGGTGCCCAAAAGTGTTCAAAGATAGTTTCTTCAGATGTGGCACCATTTTCGTCCACCTGTTAACCACAACTTAGTATCAGGGACGAGGCCGACCGTGCGCGGCCTTGGGAGACTGCAACGCCTGGCGTCGTGTTTTTTGCCAAGATATGCGAGCGCACTTGCTCAAAAGTACGTTACGGAACTTGTACCATTAGTCGATTCCGACCGAATGTTGGACACATCCAGACAAAGATGCCTTGTCAATGTTAATACACATTTTTGACCCATTTTGATCTTCAATCTACATATACGGAACACCTGCTAGGCTCTGTACAGCCCAGACATAAATTCTGGCAAAATTTCTTAGTTCTGTCCGTTTAAGAGAGTCCACTGGATCATGAAGTGAAGAATGCTGACGATGTATTTCATGCAGTCAGTTAACGCACGATTTTGTCAGTATATTTATTGTAAACTTGGGCAGACTTGATTTTGCAGTAACGTCTCGCCTTTATTCCAGTTAAAGAGGGTAGAAATGTGCATTGCACATATATATATATATATATATATATATATATATATATATATATATATATATAACAAAAAATGTCCTTAATAAGAAATGGACCATATCCGGCGATGTTTTTTTGGGGCGAGGACCCTTTTACTGTCAGGGTCCCCTTTATGAACCCTGTGTCGGCCCATGGCAAAGCTCCGGCTGCGCCCTTGCTTGGCACGGTTGGAGGTGGGGATATGAACGTGTTCTTGTGACGTGTATGGAAGCTGCATCACCTCCTTAAGTCATATGCTGGTGTGCTCGTTCGCTTTGTGGAAAGGTATGGGGAAAACGATTATATTACGACCAGTACTTCGGGGTGCACCGATTTTGGGCAGGTAAGCCAAAAGTTCATATATCAAAGGGAACTGGTGGAGGGCTAGTCTTGAGTGGCTTTAGCGCCATCTTCGCCCGGCCGACCGGTCCCAGTTCGTGTCGTGACGCCGTATTTGCGACGGCAGCGCTGCACTGCCAGCTGCTGGAGACGGTGATGTCGCGTCGGCGCATGGTGATTCGCGACCTGTTCTGCATCATCGCGCACGGCACGGTCAGCGCCCGGCTGCCGGCCGCCCACCTGCTCTTCCACTACTGGCCGGCGCTCAATCCGTCGTCTGCCGACCGGCGCGGCCACCTGCTCAAGTTCACAGGTCAGTCAGTGGGTCACCGGCCCGCTCAGGGGTCAGAGTCACGGGTTACTCGCCTGCTCAGGGGTCAGAGTCACGGATCACCCGCTCGCTCAGTGGTCAGCGTCACAGTTCACCTACCCACTCAGGGATCAAGGTCACGAGTCACCCGTCTGCTCAGGGGCCAGGGTCACGGGTCGTCGGCCCGTTAAAGGGTCAGAGTTACGATCATCCACCTGTCAGGTCAAGGCCAAGGCTGTGCCAAGGCTCCCATCGCTGGATAAAATGCCCAATTGTTACGTTGAATGGCCCGAAGACATAACTCAGCACGGATGCGTATTGAAGCGTCCAGAGCTCATAACGTTCACTGGTCAAACGTCCAGAAGCGCAGCATCCAGCGTTCACAACATGCAGAAACCATCCAATATCCCTGGACAGAGGAGAATCAGGACGTCCAGGCGCGCGGCGTCCAGAACCGCAGCCAGAGCTCAAAACGTCCAGCGTTCATGAAGTCCAGCATGCGTGAGATCCACGGGTCGAGATACTCTACCGCTTCCTTGCAACCCTTTGCTTAATGGTTCGGATATTGCCCGATAGAGACTACTGTAGCCGATTTCGCCCGCCTCATCCGACGAGTGACGTCATGCGACACAGTGCTGCACAGTTAAACCAACGTGCATGGATATGGACAACGTTTTGTTTGAGCATGTAAGCCTTGCCGTGTCAGCACATGCTTGGCAGCAAGCGCATGAACTAATTCAAAACTTGGATCCCTGGCTCGTGACATCGGAAACAGCTGGTTACTCGGCAGTAGCTGCACGGTAACCGTGGAAAGCACTTGTCAGGGCGCCTGTTGTTTGGTATTGTGGGCTGTGGATAAAATACTCTGTGGTATTTTGTTCCGTTATTCACTGCATTTGTTGATGATGTTTCTAATTTTGTCAAGGAATTCATGACTGATGTGTAACGCTGACTGATTTGATGACTGCTCCAGGTAGGCGCGCATGTAGATCTCCAACTCCTGGCACGTTAACGTATATTTTTAGTGCTTTTATTTGGCTGTTTCCCCTCCCTCCCCTCCCCCCAGCTGCAAGTTATTTCTCACGCTTCTGCAACCAGGACTTATTACAAATTTTACATGCCTTTATTCTCAAATGAGGGCGGGGGGAAGGGGGGGGGGCTGTATCATCAGCTGAACCCGGATACCACCTCCCTGGTTCGACATGTTCAATGACCTAGTCTACAAACAATGCGTTTCTTCAGTTTGTTTCGTTGAAATCGGGGGCGTGGTTTCCCAAAATAAGTTGGTTGGCTGAGCTATGAAAAAAACTAAGAGTACCCTGATAGAATGCCCTGATAATGTGCCGTCAACTTGGTTTCTCCCCGAATTTGGCTGACTTTTTCACAAATGTGCAGGCTGTAGCCAAAGTTCCGGCGTGGGGTGAAACCTCTGCAACTGAACAGGGAACCGCGCTCCTGATTGCAAGCAAATAGGAAATAAAAGAGCACACTTGACTGCGGATGTATTTAACTGCCTGCCAAACGTCATGCAAAACACCACGCAAGTGCTGCGCTTAAATGCGCTGTTGATTCACCATCTGAACAGCGGAGCCGTGTGTATGTCACTGAGTTGGTTTGCGACACATAAGCTGGATGAATTGGGAGAATCGTGGGCTTGTATTCACCATCCAATGTATCAATCTTGACACGCTGTACTCTTCTTACGCCTCCGAACCTCCCTCGTATAGAATTTGGGAGTCCAGCAACACCAGTCTGGAGTTTATACAGACGGGTGCAGTTCACGCCGCAGAGGAGCGATGGTGGCATGGTGGTTAGTGGTTAGGGTGCTCATCTCTGGACTTTTCTATCCTGGGATAGGGTCCGGGCCACAGCACTACCGCATCCCACGTACCTAATGCCTGATAAAATACGTAATAGACACGTTCTGCCTCGAAACAACCCTGGCAGCCGGTGAGACGTAAAGCCCCAATCGGTATTAGAGCCCGTCCCGACAAACAAATCGTCGCCCGCCAAACTCGCAAACAACGCTTCCGCTCAATCACTGTATATGTGTGGGGATAAAAATGTGCATCGGTTGGACGCGGAGCTCGGATACACAAGCCAGCCCAGAGGCTGCCAGCTCGGCGGTCTGGCCGGCAGCCACGCCCGCGGCGGGCCAGCGGACGAGGCAGCCCGGCCGCCAAATAAAGAACGCAGCCACGCGCGCGCCGCCGCTCGGCCGAGAACGGAGCCCCGCCACACGCGCGCGAGGCCTGTCCGTGGGTCAGCCCGTCCGCGGTCGAAACACTGTCAGCTCAGCCGGGCACGCCGCCGTCTTCGCGTTAGAGCCCGGGGCCTCTGACTCGGTTTCACTCGGTTCGCCGCGGTACACATCCCGGCGGACCGGACATCCGGACATGTCGGACATCCCTGCATCTCGCTCGTGCTGGACCGGAGCCCCCCCCCTCCCCCCTCCTTGACGGGCGGCGTAATGGAAGGGTCTCGTGTCAGTCACGGTCCAGCACCGGACAGGGTCGCTGTACCCGTTTCCTCTAGGACCTAGATGGGTTGAACTGGGATCCCTGTGCCATTTATCAAACCGGCTGCGCTTGGGACCTTTTTGAGTCGGCGAGTGTCCCTGCGTCGATCCAGGGTCAACCATCCCGGTCAGAGGGTGTTCGGCGTGAGAGAGGGGACCAATGTATCATGTGTATCAATAGTAATCGATAGGCAATCAGAAAGGATACGGCAAGGTCGTTCAGCCTCAATCGGGAAATGCGTGGGGTCTCCAGTCTTGGCTGAAGACTCTATTAGGCTCTGGCTGTTGAAGGAGGAGAGGTGAGGGGTCCGGGAACCCCTCGGAGGAGCTTTTTCGGACCCGTGAAGTTCGAAAAAGGGCCTTCTGAATGACAAGAGCAAAAAGTATTGCCAAACGAAAGTTCAGAAAATACCGTGGCATCGTCTAGCAGCCCGGAGGCCCCATCTGGTAAACTCGGGGTCCCCTCTGGCCGCTCAGTCAGGACTTCCTGACCGCCAGGGATATGGAAGTATTTAAGGGCTCTTACAAGTGCTTGGACCTCTGTTACCCTTCAGTCTTTGGACACTAAGGGACCCGGGAAACTACTCGTATATTCTGGTCGTTCGGGGGTCGCATTCACTCCTCAGGGACCTCCAGTGGCCCACACAGGAGATGTACAGGGGCACGTGCCCCCCCCCCCCCCTTCCATCCCGCCGTAGTGCTCTGGGGAAAGCGATCAAAGTCCCGATTTGTTGCTCCAAAGGGCTCGAAGGGCTCGGTGGAGATCGTATTAGGGATCCCGGCCATGCGGCCCGGGCCCTCAATGCCTTTCAGAGAGCCTTTTACGCCGGTCGCGGACCTCCGGAGTCGATTAGGGCTTCTACGTCGATCAGGCACCAGAAAGAGCCCTGACCCTTTACCCTGAGAGAGCCATGAACTCCAGGGGCATAAACTATGTTGAGCCTTCCACACTGATAAAATGCTGGATCGGACCCGTAAGCAAGCAGGCGCAGACACCTCCCTGGGGAGGCGGCATCATCTTTATTTTCGAAGGGTACTAAGTCGAAGCAGGCCATTTATAAAGCCCAAAACCATAAATTTAGAAATGTACCAAAACCCAGTGGCTTCACAATCGGGATGCCTTTCACTCTGGAAAATTCCGAATCAGACAGGACAGAATCGGATGGATGGGAATCTGAATTCAGGGAAGGGGCACCCTGTGCAGGGAAACAGGCACTATGAACCTTTGTTGTCATTGGGGCTTTACGACGCACTTAGCTGCTGAGGCAATATGGCGTCGCCTGCCTCTCACCCTGGTGGGAAGGGCGGGCACCACGGAGAATGGAATCCTGTAACTAGGGTTTCCTCGACGTGCAGTAGTTAACGCAGGCGCGTTAACCACTACACTATTGTCACCCTAGTCTTCTAACCAGCAACCTTCCTTTTGGGGCATCGTAGCATTTATTTTCCGGAGGCACATAATTCCAGGAGTCATCACAATACCCAGGCCTCTCCATTAATGAAATCCTGCATTGGCCCGTTCGGCCAGGGAATGCCTTTCTTTCGGACCAGCGCTGCATTTATTTCCTTGAGATGCCAAATGCAAGTGGGCGGTTGAAAGAACAAGTGAAGGTGGTCCAGAACTTCTCTTCAAGAGGCACCGAAATACAGGGGCACCACAATTGCCCTGCCTTACACTGTTGAAATCCGGGTTCGGCACCTTCGGTGAAAAGGCATCAAGAAACCGTGAAACCGTTCCGTGACATTATAAAATGTATTTTTATCAGCACCCATTTTCAATCGGAACACCACAAACGGCCCAAACATTCATAAAGCGATACAAAATTTCAGTGGCACTTAAAATGGCCTCTAAAGCTTAATTTTCACGGGGACCGAATTAAGTACAACTCCCTCCAACCTACCTCTTAAACTCCGAGGGTCCCATGTGTACTGAGGGTCCTTTTTTGGCCCCTTGGGGCCGCAGATTAAGAGCCCGATTAAAGCGGCCGAAGGGCAGGTCAGAGGTCGTATGGATGGATCACACCCCAAAGACCGGATCCTAAAATGTCAGATCAGCACTGATCGGAGGCCCCATGCGACTTTGTCTCTATTTGAGGCAGCTGACAGAACAGCAATATCGAACAGGTCTTTCCGTGCCATTCTGGGGCCTAGCTGTCATGTCCCGAACAGGGGAAAGGCCAATATCTCCAAATGTCAATCAGAAGGCAGCCTACATTCGTCGGGACACCTGGAACAATGAAGGACCCACGCTGCTGGTCAGTGACCACAGTCGCTGGCAGGAGACCATGTGTCGGCAGCGAGCCCCAGGTCGACCAGGAGCACATTTGCTTAATAGGGACGATTATGGGACCCCGTATGGTAAAGGGCCTATTGTGCTGGTTTGGCCCCTCCTGGCAATGAAAGGATTCATGAGATATGATAAAAAGGGCTCACATGTACAATGTGATAGCGGAGAGGCTTGTACCAGTCAGGGACACCAGTACCAGACGAAGGATCCTCCGCACCGTTTCAACCTGGCGCCGATAAGGCGGATAAGTGTCTCGCTACCAATTATTGGACTTCCTGTGCCAGCTAGCAGTGCTTGCATCAGCAAGGGTCCCTGCGCCGATCCGTTGCTGTATGTCTCAGGCAGAGGGTCAGCCGCATCCAGGGGGGGGGGGACCGGTTGTGGTGCATCCTTCTGAGGGTCTTCGTACGGTCCTGGGGGTTATCACCAGAATGAAAGCCGCTGTGGACTCCAGGATGAGGTGGAATGCCCTTCAGCTGCTGACCAGAACGTTTTACCAATGTAATTCAGTTGGCTGACCAGTCGATTCTCTGAACGGAAGCAGTTGCAGCGTTACGAGCGAGAGAGGTCACGCCATTGCGCCTTCCCATTGCGCCTTCCCGTAACCCGTCCGTACTACTAATCTAAAAATTGCACTGGTGAAATATCCCGCCCGAGATACCTTTTACACGCGTACCAATTGATTTCATAAAGCGTTGGAAAGAACCGGTTTCCAATGCGTGGTCATTTCCACTCTCCTGTTCACCGCTGCTAGGTGTTCTGCGAGGTTCCGTACCCTACAGTGGTGTGACTACAACATTTTTGTCCCGACGTCTCACAGAGCACCTCACGGAGGGGGCACCAAGGAATCACGTACAGCCCGACCACAATACTCCCCTCTCGCGCCGAGCGCTTACACAAAACACTGCAATTCTATCATCTACACACAAAACAACAAACTCAGCATTCTGGGTGCATTACTGATTCATGACCACAAACGACTTTTAAGGAAACATGTGGATCAAACTATTGAATTATCTCTTTAGAGCAGCATCACAAATAAAACATTTAGACGAGGAACAAGACACTGATGAATGACGCTGGTATTGGGTGATTGGCATGCAGTGTTGTCATTTACCATGTTATTGTGTTATTCACAATGTGCGGTGCTAATGATGTCCTCTGCACGGCTAAAGAATCGTGCGTTGTTGCCAAATCAAAACGGGAGTGGGTGCTATCCAGTGAAAAACCTATTGTTGTTGGCATGTTCGTGTTTTATGCTCTGATTTTAAGTGTTTAAGTTGCATAAGTGAAATGAAGAACCAGATATGTAGAAGAGCCAGCCACCATTCATATACCGTGCAAGCTCTGCGAGCTTGGTCTGCCGTTTGTTACAAAACCACATATATATATATATATATATATATATATATATATATATACATATATATATATATATATATGTGTGTGTGTGTGTGTATGTATGTTATATATATATATATATATACATATATGCATAAATATCCACACATGTACACCGCGAAAATGCTACACAACTGGAGAAAGCCTCCTACTTTGTGAACTCCCAAGGGTTCATTGTTCCATCCACCAGAAATCGTCGTATTCCGACCATCGAGTTTGATATTCTTATGCATGCAGTTTGTAGACTGGAACATAGTTTACTGTGCGCAACCCTAGAAAACCAGGCGTGTTCCGTATGCAAATACATGGAGCTGGCTCATTTTCTCCAGATCATGGTGGATCCTGTCATTTTGAGGTTAAGTATTTCGGAGAAAATATTGCAGCATACACTTAGATTGGACGCTTATACCATCAAAATAAAACTCAAACCTGATTTCTAGCTTACTTGTGGCTAGCCGGGTAGTTCATGAGATCAGCTGATGGCTGAGGACTAATGCAGAGGGTTTGCTTTGTCTGTTGCAAGGAAGTACAAAATATCCTATCCTTCAAAATGTATTAAAGATGTAACGTACAAGTACAATAGCTGCCACAAATTCGATAAACAACGGAAACGATATGCATGATATCGGCGGTATGTAGAATTATGCTCGACAGTTACAAGAACAAATTCATTGGTGTAGTCGGCATAGCCGTAAATTCAGTCATCAGTCGATAAGACGCAAAGCCCCACTCAAAACTGTTAAGGTTTAGGTCCAATTCAACGGCGCATGCCCTTCTAAAATTTGGGAAAACCCTAGACCAATAAGGACGGCACCTGAGCGGTCGAAACTACTGCGGCAGCCCAACAAAGAGGCTCCCGTCAACAGTGAAGGGTCCTCGTGACGAGCGAGAAGAACCTAACAGTCATATGGTGGGACCCCGAAATGATCGGGAGTGCCCCGGCAGGCTAACATATAGGGTCCGGCCAGGCACAGGATCCTCTGAGCAGGGGAAATGACCCAAGATCAGTGTGCATGAAGTAATGCCTCTGTGCGATCAAGAGTGCCCGGGCAGGTCAACAGAAAGAGCTCTGACAAGTGAAGGGTCGTCAGCAAATAAGTGCCCCAAAATATGCGCCCCGGTGAGCCCCGGGACGCAGCCGCGCCCAGGCCGGACACGGCCGCCAGGCGTCAACGTAATTTATAGTGACTATGCTCCGCGGTAAGCATCACGTGATCATCGATAAAATGCCAGGTTGGCTGTGCCATCTGGTTACAAAAGCGGGAAATAGCGGCAGGAGTAAAAAATATAATCTAATCTAAGCTTGCATAAGTGCCGGGGACACTGGACATTCTAAACATTGGACTTTACGACTCTGGATTATGCGGCTCTGGACGTTGCGCGCCTAGACCCTTTAAATGCCCCCAATAGGTAAGTTGTTCAGTGCATAACCGAGAAACATTAGTCACATGGATAAGACAGTAGTATTAGCCTTATTCCACGGAAAAACCAGGAGAATGGGGATAGATCATGGCCAATTATGCTAACGTGATGTGTGCCTCTATGTGTGAGGTGCTCTAGCTTAAAATCGATTACATGTGTAAGTGATGCCTGACGCGTGATGTGTGATACCTGTTTAATTAAAGTCGTTTGCTGTATAATTGGTGCGCGATGTGTGATGCCTGTTTACTTCAACCCGCTTGCATGTTTGAATGAAGCGTGATGCGTGATGCTTATTTGCTTGAATTCATTTGCATGTACACGTATGTCCGGGCGTTCTAGATCGCAGATATACGCTGTACCTTGGTAATGGCTGGCAATCGCTCTTTGTGTAATCCCCTGAATGCCGGTGTCTTGTAAAAACTGTGACTTGCTGTTTCAAACAAGAACCCTGAAACATCGAGCAGGATCATCGGCAGGCAATTTTGAATTCATTTCTATTATTGTTTCGAGAAAGGCATTTAGGCGAAATATCAACCTAACTTCATCTCCATTCTCCTGTTTTTTTCCGAGGAATAAGGCTATACTACTGTCTTTCCCCAATAGGTACGGAATTGGACGCATGCTCGACGTTATGAACGCTGAATGTCGCGATCTTGAACAATGTGAACACGGGACGCTGCAATCTAGGGCGTTTTGATGGCTCCCCTTAGAGAGGAGGGCACGGGTTTTTCGTGACTGTACTACACTTTTTGTATCACTGTATTGCGGGTAGAGCTCAGCACCGCGTCTTCGTTATCGTACTACGCTTTTTGTGTTACTGCAGTGTAGTTCTTTGTTGCTCATGCAATAATAGCGCCATGTCACGTTCTTACCAGGCCTGGATATCGAGGACATCGGTAAGTATAACTTACCATCGCCGTTTTTTATCCTTCTTTACGCGTTGTTCAAAACAGACATTGCTTCCAGCGTTACCTGAGTTTTTGGGCAGCTTGCCAACATACACGAACGTATTTAGATCATAACAGCCACTGTTAACTTGCTCAGCTTTATCTAAAAGATGAGGTACCTGCCATCTGTATGTTAATGATCTTGCGTATTCACCATCTTGCCGACATGTCATCTTCATCCTTATGGTTTCATGAAGCGCAAATCCTCTCCCCACGTCTCCATCCTCCAGGGGTTGAGGACATCTGCGTTCTGAGTGGTCATTTTTGTCCGTTGGTGCCGGATGCAGTCCTGTTATGTCCGCGTGCTGATTGCCAAGCCTCCCCCCCCCCCCTCCCCCCTCCCCCCCCCCCACAACCGATCCGCCTTTTCCCCATGCGGGCCTCTTCCGACATCTTTTCCACTCCGGGGCCCTTTCAGAGCGGCGTAGCTCAGCATTGGGTCTGCTGACGTGACAGACTGCGAGGCCTTATGTCGCGGGCCAGAGCAGTCCCTTGCCCCGAGCTGAGGCGGCTGAGCCGATATAAGCCGATACACTGCCCGTCAGGCTGGGAGCCGCACCAGTGCGAGCGCGACAACTGCCCCTCCAACGAGAACAACGAGGCCATCCAGCTGTGTCTGGACCACAACGTGGCCGTACTGCAGGGCTCCGAGTACCCGCCGCCGCTCTATCTCTGCCAGGTGGGGATGGTCCGGCTCCGCTGGCGGCGCGGGGGCACGCGTCAGCGACTCTAGGGACCAGGCGCCTGTCGGCCAGCTGGGCGGCACAGGCAGAGCGCAGGCCTCGTGTTGTACCACACTTTTGTCCGGAGGTTTGAAGTCGCCCTACACACGCTACCGGATGCCTTTTTGGTGTTGCATGTGGTGGGTTGGGATCTGGCTGGGAAGATAGCGATTTTACTGATAGTTACTGTGTCGTCAAATAACCATTACAATTTTACGAAAGCTTACTAATTATGCCTAGTAAATTCACTTATAATACCTTTGGCCGGCACGGAACGGAAGTTCCTGCTTCATAATTGGTGCCAATCTCTAGTGTCGTGCTCACAAACACTGTCGTTTCTTTGCAGCACTGTTCGCAGGATATCCGGGCCGCCAACTCGCAGATCAGCATGTTCGAGATCCTGCTTCCTATGCAGCACGTGTCCACCACTTGTGAGAACAAGGTGCGTGTGGTGCTTAGCTGGCGGAATGAGCTTTTCGGATAAACTAGAGTCTTCAAAGTGGGTGAAGGGACCAGCGAGTGACTCGCCACCGGTATGTAGCACACAAGAATGATGCGTTTTTCGCGTATTCGCGATTTTGTTTGCCCGATCGCCCATTTCGCAAATATGCCAGTAATGACATAATCTTATTTTAGGAATATTTCCTCTGTTCTCAACAACCCGCCTGACGTCAGTTTCATTTTTTGTTTTCATTCCAGAACTGCCGTTCGAACGAGAAGCTGGCCATCTGCACATGCTTCAGCATCGAGTGCGCCTCCTACAACGGTAACCGGCCGATCAGGTACTGTGCCCAGTGCGACAGCATTCGACACAACAACCGGCGTGGCGGCGACCACCTGGTCCAGTACCGCATCGGCTCGCCGTGGAAAATGGCGCCCGACGTCTCCCGCTACATGGTGGAAGCCGTGGTCAGGTGAGTCGATCGGCGGCGCGTGGGCGGCCACGGGGCTGTGCCGCTCCGTCTGAGGCCTGTGGGTGCAGTCGCTGGCAGGACGTGTGTGCCCATCGTAGCAGGTGTTGTGTGGTGCCTCGAAACATTTCCAGTGCCGTGGTGTCAACCACGCCACGCCAGCTGAGTGGCGTTGCCAGGACGCTCGATGACGCCCCGTCATACAGGACAGTTCTTCAATGACTCCGCAGTGGCAACCCGATGACTCCGCGGTAAACCCGACGGTTCCACTGTGACTCCATAGTGACTCCCCGTCGACACCAGGTGGCTTCCCGTAACACCCCCTTTATTCCTCGTCGACTCCCGTTAACACTCCAGTGACTCCCCGTTTGCATGCCATTGACTCCCCGTTAACATCCTAGTGACCCCCCGTTTATTCCCCGTCGGCCCCGTGAACACCCATGTGACTCCCATTTACACCTCATTGACTCCCCGTCAACACCCAGTTGACTCCCCGTTAACACCCCATTGACTCCCTGTTAACATCCCTGTGACTCCCCCGGTGCGGTGGCCGGCAGTCTGCTGAAGGAGGCGCAGCCGCTGGCCGACAGTCGGCGGAGTCGCGAGCAGGACCGCCACACCCGCGCCGGCCTCCTGGATGACGCCAACCAGGTAATGGACGGCCGACTGGCACACTCATCCACTCCACTTGACCCACTGGCACAATCATCCACTCCACTTGGCCCACTGGTACGCTCATCCATTCCACTTGGCCCACTGGCACACTCATCCACTCCGCTTGGCCCATTGGCACACTCATCCACTCTTATTTGCCCCACTAGCACGCCCTCCCGCTCCACTTGCCCCACTGGCACGCCCTCCCGCTCCATTTGGCCCAGTGGCGCACTCATCCACTCCACTTGGCAGGCCTCATGTAGGTAGTAATCCGCAGGTGAGCGTACAGGCCATGTCGCGGGGAGAGTGCAGCTGCGTAGGCACAAGGCGTGACAGGTGTAGTGAGGTCACATGCCTGATTGGACGTTGTACAGATTAGGAGCTCTGAGAAGGATGAGCCACCGGGTCCAGATACTGGGACCTGCCGTATGGTGGTGGGACCGGCCGCGGTACCAGGGTCCCGACTGCGCCGCGGGGTATCCAGGGCGGTGCGCCAGCCTCTCCGCGGTGGTGGTGCTACGCCTCGGTGACGCGTGCTGGCGTGTGGCTCCGGCAGCCGGAGGGTCCGTCGCTGGAGGAACGCCGCTCGCTCAGCCGCTACGGCGTCTGGCTGCTGGTGAACCTCTGCACACCGGACCGCACGACGCCAGACGCCACGCTGGCCCGCCTGCTGGCAGCCCTCTTCAACTGGTTCGAGGCGACCGCTTACCTCGGAGACGGTACGTCAGCCGACCGCTTACCTCGGAGACGGTACGTCAGCCGACCGCTTACCTCGGAGACGGTACGTCAGCCGGCCGCTTACCTCGGAGACGGTACGTCAGCCGACCGCTTACCTCGGAGACGGTACGTCAGCCGACCGCTTACCTCGGAGACGGTACGTCAGCCGACCGCTTACCTCGGAGACGGTACGTCAGCCGGCCGCTTACCTCGGAGACAAATGCGAATGCAAATGCAAGTGCAAATCTATTGCTGTTAAGCTGCCCAGTATCACCCGTCACAAGGTGTTTGCAAGGGAGGGGCAAACCGTTTGCTGCTGCAGTCCGATTACCAGGAGTTCGTCAGTCTCGATGTGCTGTTGTCACGTTGGTTGCATGATCACGCATCGTCCGCACATGGAACGGATATCGGTGGCTTCATACCTCTCGGGCATGCACAAACCCCAACAAGAGCTGGCTGGCGCGTCCGGCTGACGGTGGCGGCCGGTCTCCGTGTCTGGCGTGCTGACGGTGGCGGCCGGTCTCGGCGTTGGGTATGCTGACGACGGCGGCCGGTCTCCGCGTGAGCCGCGCTGACGACGGCGGCCGGTCTCCGCGTCCGGCGTGCTGACGACGGCGGCCGGTCTCCGTGTCCGGCGTGCTGACGACGGCGCCGGTCTCCGTGTCCGGCGCGCTGACGACCGCGACGAGTCTCCGCGTGAGCTGCGCTGACGACGGCGGCTGGTCTCCGCGTCAGCCGCGCTGACGACGGCGCGGGTCGTATTGCAGACCAGACGGGCGGCGCGCTGGAGCTGCTGAAGTCCGAGTACATCCACAGCTGGCTGCAGAACATCCTGGCCGGCCACTTCAAGACGTTCGCCTCCTGCCTGCTGCCGCGGCCGCCCGAGTACGCCAGGGTCGGCGGACACTGGTCAGTCCGAGGGTGACGCCGCCACGGTCGTGCTGGTTGCAAGCAGAAACACTGGGCGTTTGGGATTCAGAACACAGCCGCTAGTGCTGGCTGGAAGAGCCCCCGGGTAGTTGGAGCTGGTACCTAGATTCAGCTGTGCTTTTGACGTGTTTGTTGTATGGCTTCTAGATGCATCTCGATCGAGCTTACAACGGTCGTTGTTAAGCCAACATGTTCTCGCAGCATGCCCGTCTAGGGCGTTAAGCCTCGGTGCTGCCTCGCCCGTTTCGGTGGCGTGCGGCCTGACCGACACCGATGACCGCCGGCCCGCAGGGACGGCCTGGTGTCGAAGACGCAGCACATCCAGGAGGGCTTCCACAGGCTGTTCTGCCTGGTGCCGTACGACATCATCAGTGCCGACTTGTGGAACCACATCATGCCCAACTGGCTGGAGGCCATCCTGCAGGACGTGCCCGAGGACGAGCTGCCCGAGCTCAAGATCATTCTCAGGTCAGCGACTGCCCGGCGTCGCGCCGGCGCGCTTCGACGGCTCACGGAGGACATCGCCCTGTTGTTACGGTGCCGGCGAGCGATAGCCCTTAGTGTTCCGTGCTACTGGTTTGTGCGCGCAATTTAAGTGTCCATGGACCCAATCCATGGTCCCTAACAGGGATGACCCTGTTCGATACTCGAGGTCCCTTGTCTTGTGTGTTGGTCCCCATGCCTTTGTCTCAGTGCTTTTGTCCCCCTGCTTTTGTCCCAGTGTTTTAGCCCCATTGCGGTGCTTTAGCACCCTGTTAAAAGTCATACGTGGTTTGGCTAAAAGCTGTGAGGTGTTCCCTTACAATTCCTGGAGGTTCTTTTACTGCGTCACTTGCAGCGTGCAACAAACGATTTTCGAAAACATGATACAGTTAACAGCGGTATGTAACACATACTCGCCAGTGGCGTCGCTTGTGACCCTACTACATGCATGTTATGTTTGCAGCAAGCTGCTGGACCCGGATATGTCTCCGCTCGGCTTCGACGCCGACCAGATGTACCAGTTTGTGTCGGTGCGGTTCCACTCGAGCGCGCCACGCGTGCAGGAGCAGGCGCTCGCTTGGCTGCAGGTACGGCACCACGCCACCGGAGCCGCACGGCGCTGGAGTGCAGGTCCTCTCGAGCGCGTGCAGGAGCAGGCGCTCGCCTGGCTGCAGGTACGGCACCGCGCCCCCGCAGCCGCACGGCGCTGGAGTGCAGGTCCACTCGAGCGCGTGCAGGAGCACGCGCTCGCCTGGCTGCAGGTACGGCACCGCGCCACCGGAGCCGCACGGCGCTGGAATGCAGGTCCACTCGAGCGCGTGCAGGAGCAGGCGCTCGCCTGGATGCAGGTACGGCACCGGACCGCCGGAGCCGCACGGCGCTGGAGTGCAGGTCCACTCGAGCGCGTGCAGGAGCAGGTACCAGGAAACATATCTACACAGACCGTTGATGCATTCACATCGACTTGAAGCCCGATGCAAAATGGTCGGTTTCAAAATGAAAATAAAACAGACAGAGCTACATCAAAAGCCGCATTGTGTTGGTGGCAGTCTTATCATACATGCGCAGCACCCTCTTCTATACGATCCGTGGGTCCTCTGCACATCACATTAGCGACCATTTGCGTTGTCAGCGAAGCCATCTAACATTCACACAGCACCAGCTCTCCTTTTATCCAGTAAGGTCGTATGACTCGGGTTGCTTGACGCTTGCGGCGTGTGCTGGTCGAGCCGGCCGCCCGCTAACCGGACCAGCCCCGCTCCAACAGATCCTGTCGGGGCTGAGCTGACCGGACCCACCCCGCTCCGACAGATCCTGTCGGAGGTGAACTGACTGGATCCGCCCCGCTCCGACAGATCCTGTCGGAGGTGAACTGACGGGACCCGCCCCGCTACGACAGATCCTGTCGGAGGTGAACTGACCGGACCCGCCCTGCTCCGACAGATCCTGTCGATGGTGAACTGACCGGGCCGCCCCGCTACGACAGATCCTGTCGATGGTGAACTGACCGGACCCGCCCCGCTCCGACAGATCCTGTCGATGGTGAACTGACCGGGCCGCCCCGCTCCGACAGATCCTGTCGGAGGTGAACTGACCGGACCGCCCCGCTCCGACAGATCCTGTCGGAGGTGAACTGACCGGACCCGCCCCGCTCCGACAGATCCTGTCGGAGGTGAACTGACCGGACCCGCCCTGCTCCGACAGATCCTGTCGATGGTGAACTGACCGGGCCGCCCCGCTACGACAGATCCTGTCGATGGTGAACTGACCGGACCCGCCCCGCTACGACAGATCCTGTCGGGGGTGAACTGACCGGGCCGCCCCGCTCTGACAGATCCTGTCGATGGTGAACTGACCGGACCCGCCCCGCTCCGACAGATCCTGTCGATGGTGAACTGACCGGACCCGCCCCGCTCCGACAGATCCTGTCGGGGGTGAACTGACCGGGCCCGCCCCGCTCCGACAGATCCTGTCGATGGTGAACTGACCGGACCCGCCCCGCTCCGACAGATCCTGTCAGGGGTGAACTGACCGGATCCGCCCCGCTCCGACAGATCCTGTCGATGGTGAACTGACCGGGCCCGCCCCGCTCCGACAGATCCTGTCGGAGGTGAACTGACCGGACCGCCCCGCTCCGACAGATCCTGTCGATGGTGAACTGACCGGGCCCGCCCCGCTCCGACAGATCCTGTCGATGGTGAACTGACCGGACCCGCCCCGCTCCGACAGATCCTGTCAGGGGTGAACTGACCGGATCCGCCCCGCTCCGACAGATCCTGTCGATGGTGAACTGACCGGACCCGCCCCGCTCCGACAGATCCTGTCGATGGTGAACATCGCCATCCCGCTACCGATCCTGCACAAGATGCTGCGCAGCGGCGTGCGCTGTCTACATGTGTCGCGTGACGGACCCAGCTGCCGCAAAGTCAGCTCCATCCGCTCCCAGGTCAACACCGACCTCGGTACGCTGGCCGTTGAGGACCTCCAGATCGCTGTGCTGCTTGACGGCTGTGGCACGTGCAGCCTGCAGCTGTGCGGAAAATAACTCCAGAAATTGTGCTATATTTGGACTGTCATAAGGTTAAGTTGACAGTCTACCCGCCATAAAGCCGTCGTAAACCTGTTTCATCCCGCATGGCTCATACATTAATTGTCCCTTGACCCAGACTTGACTTGACAGGTTCAGTTGTGCAGAGCGAGTCCTGCTTCCCTCTCCCCTCGCCCCTCACCCGTCGTCCATTCCCCTCACTCCTCGCTTCTCGCCCCTCACTTCTCATCCCATTCCCCTCACTCCTCGTCCCACCCCCTCGCCTCTCGTCCCATTTCCCTCACTCCTCGCCCCACGCCCCTCATCCCTCACCCCATACCCCTCACTCCTCGCCCTTCGCCCCTCGCCCATGTCTGGAGGGGGTCGCCCGTGTTGGCGCTGACACGGCCTTGGCCTGGCAGGTCCGGTGGTGCAGAGCGAGTCCCGGGCCGCGTCGCCCCTGTCGGGGGAGGACGGCATGCCCGAGGAGGAGGCGCCGCTGGATACCGTGGACACGGCCGACTTGGTGGTGCCCTGCTTCGTGCTTATGCTGGACGTGCTGCTCAAACAGGTGACGTCATGAAGGCTGTTGGGCCGACTCGCGTGACATCAGGGACTTTGCCGACTAGTTTGTGCCAACGTTGCATAAATACGTTTACGTGAATTTTGATGACTTGTTTTTAGTATATATATATATATATATATATATATATATATATATATATATATATATATATATATATATATACTAGCTCCAATGTCAGTATATTGTTGCTGGCCCGAAGTCGTTTGCTTTTTCCTGCTTTCCAACAACGCGGTCCATTTTACACTTCAGATGGAGATCCAGGACATCCAGCGGAGCCAGGGCGTGCAGAACAGCCTGTCGCAGCAGGCGGTGGTGCTGCTGAAGGCCATGCTGTCCTCGCCCACCGAGGGCCGCCACACCTGTGACCCGGACGACATGCCGGTGTTCGAGGTGAGTGCCTGCCGCCGTCAGCGGGACGCCGGTCCCTGGACGTCCTTAGCTTCAGACCGGCCCTGGCCGAACCGGGCCGAGAACTGCACGGCGCGGCGTGCCCACTGGCGCAGAGATGGCGCCCACCGGAGGAGGCGTAGGACTGCGATGGGAACAAGACTGCGTTTGCACTCCGGCCTGGAGGCTCATTGTGAAGTTTGTTATGTTGCCTTCGTGGGCGAAGTGTTCCTGTTTTGAACACACTGTATGGCTGACCCGCCTGACTTTCTGTGCCATGTCTGCTGCCCAGCCCCGCCCCCACAGTCACCTTTGACCGCTGACCGTGACCACTGCACTCCGTCCTCTGCCCGGTACCTGCTGGGCCAGCCCCGCCCCCAGTCACCTCCGTGACCGCCACACCCTGTCCTCCGCCCGGTACCAGCCGAGCCAGCCCCGGCCCCACAGTCACCTCCGTGACCGCCACACCCTGTCCTCCGCCCGTGACCTGCCGAGCCAGCCCCGGCCCCACAGTCACCTCCGTGACCGCCACACCCTGTCCTCCGCCCGTGACCTGCCGAGCCAGCCCCGGCCCCACAGTCACCTCCGTGACCGCCACACCCTGTCCTCCGCCCGGGACCAGCCGAGCCAGCCCCGGCCCCACAGTCACCTCCGTGACCGCCGCACCGTCCTCTGCCCGGTACCTGCTGGGCCAGCCCCGCCCCCAGTCACCTCCGTGACCGCCACACCCTGTCCTCCGCCCGGGACCAGCCGAGCCAGCCCCGGCCCCACAGTCACCTCCGTGACCGCCGCACCCTGTCCTCCGCCCGGTACCTGCTGAGCCAACCCCGGCCCCACAGTCACCTCCGTGACCGCCGCACCCTATCCTCCGCCCGGGACCAGCCGAGCCAGCCCCGCCCCCACAGTCACCTCCGTGACCGCCACACCCTGTCCTCCGCCCGGGACCTGCCGAGCCAGCCCCGCCCCACAGTCACCTCCGTGACCGCCGCACCCTGTCCTCCGCCCGGTACCTGCCGAGCCAGCCCCGCCCCCATAGTCACCTCCGTGACCGCCGCACCCTGTCCTCCGCCCGGGACCTGCCGGGCCAGCCCCGGCCCCACAGTCACCTCCGTGACCGCCACACCCTGTCCTCCGCCCGGGACCTGCCGAGCCAGCCCCGGCCCCACAGTCACCTCCGTGACCGCCGCACCCTGTCCTCCGCCCGGTACCTGCCGAGCCAGCCCCGGCCCCACAGTCACCTCCGTGACCGCCGCACCCTGTCCTCCGCCCGGGCCTTGCCGAATCGTCCATCTGACGCACCGCCCACAGACGTACCGCGAGAACGGCAAGGACGAGCCGGTGCGCGTGGATCAGTGCGACGCGTGCGAGGCGCTGCTGGAGCTGTACCAACTGGCCGGCGAGCTGCTCTCTTATATCTGCCCCCAAGAGATGGTCAAGCCGGTCGAGGTGAGGCGAGGTCCGGGCCGGGGGAGAGGTGCCCGGCGACAGACGCGCCGACGCCGCTCGTTCAGCAGCGCAGCCAGACGCTGTACAGAGCGGTGCTAGCGCCCGCTTCTGGTCATGTCCAGATGCTCATCGTAACTGTCGCAGTAGTAACTATCCAACACGGGGATGTGCGTGTTGCGTCGTGATGTTGTAACACAGCTGGACAGGAGCCGTGTCGGTCCGACCGGCGCGTCAGAGGGTCCCGCTCCGCGCAGTGTCCTACCTCCGACCACGGCGGCGTCAGTGCCGTTCCGACCGGCGCGTCAGAGGATCCCCCGCGCAGTGTCCCACCTCCATCCGCGGCGACGTCTGTGCCGATCCGACCGGCGCGTCAGAGGGTCCCGCCCCGCGCACTGTCCCACCTCTGTCCGCGGCGGCGTCACCAGTGCTGTCTCAGCACCGCTGACGCCGCCCCGCCGCTCAGCTGGTGGAGGAGGCCGAGCCGGGCATGGAGTCACCGCCGCCGGCCCAGCAGGAGGAGCCGCCGCCGCACGTTCAGGAGAAGCCGGCCACGGCGCCCGAGGAGCACGTGGTGCCCGTGGAGGCGCCGCAGATGGGACAGCAGTCGCAGGTACGCGGGGATTGCAGGATCGGGTACGGTCGCTGTCTGCTCAAGAAACCGGCTCAGATGCTGGCCTGTCTGCGTGCGGAAAAGTCGTTTGATTTCTTAGCATAAACGCATATTGGGCAGATTGTCACATCCAGAGAATGTGCGAACTACGCATTTTTGTGTGATTAATACCACCAACAGCTGGAATTGTGTGACAATCGTGCATAAAGACGGGAGAGATTGAAGCCACGAAAGCCCATCAGATCGGCCTGACCTGCAGCAGCGGCGACCGCGGAGGACGCCGTCGCGCCGCCGCGGTGCGGGGCTGCGACACTGACAGAGCCGGACCCACACCGCCAGGTGATGATGGCTACGGAGACTGTGACGGAGATGGATGTGGCGGCCAGCATGCCGGCTGAGAAGGTGATGCGCGCTGTAGCCAAGGCGGTCACCATCTCCGAGGACGACATCGGTCAGTGCAGCGCCCCGCCCTCCCCTCTCCTCTCTCCCCCCACCACTCACCCAACCACACACACTGCAGGTTCAGCGGTTGGCCAGTTCTCATCGTGTTCTGAGGAACAGTGGAGTCATGGACTAGGGAGATGGAAGCTGGTGCGCGTCCGACCGTGCAGAAGTGACCAAGGCGCCATTGCCCAAATGAGTTGCTGCCAACATGTTTGTGGTTTACATGTGAATATTTCAATGTGGATGATCCACTTTCCCACTCCGTCTGATCAGTAGGGGGGGGGGGGGGGGAGGAGGCGGTCTGCCGAGTTACGTCAGCACATTTGGGGGAGAACATGCATGTCGTACCATTCTCGGCGTGTTTGGAACGGGGCAACATCGACGGCACCATTCGTTTCCGTTTTATAGACGATTAGGCCATGGACCTTCAGAAGTCGTACGCTTCCAGCCGCGCCTCTGCTGCACCTCATCTGACCGCCCCCCCCCCCCCACACACACACACAAACACACGGCCAGGGGCTCCACCTGGCCCGGTTTACACCCACACTTGGGCGCTGTACACCGCTGGCCCAGTGCGTCGGTTTGCGCTGAAACCGGCCGCGGTCCGTGTGCCGGCAGCGGTGGCCAAGGTGAAGGTGGTGGCGGCCCGGCTCGTGGGCGAGAACGACCAGCCCGTGCTGGTGCCCACCATCGAGGAGGGCGACAACTTCTGGACCACTTCGCACGGACGGTTCCGCTTCACCGTCGACGAGCTGCCGCCCGATCTCCAGCTGCTCTACGGACTGCTCAATGTAAGTGTCACTCCCGCCGTCGCCCCTGTGTTCCTTTGTCCCATTCTCTTGTTTTCCCACTCCCTCATTCTTGCTCTCATCTGGCTTTCTATTCACTTCCGTACTCTCCAACTCGCTGATCTTTGCCTTCGCCTTTAAGTTTTCATTCTCTCACTTTCCCACGCTCTTTCGCTTTGTGTATCTCCCTTCTTCTGTTTGCGTTTTCCCACGGTCTTTCATTACCGTTTATCTTTCTTTCGTTTGTTTTCTCCTCTTCACTCGTCTCGTTTGTTGTCGGTCACTCTCCTCTTCGTCTGGACGGAACCTTACACATGATTCCCTTACATTTCCATCATTTGATCGTGTCCTTTCTCTGCGCGGTGGATGCATTTGTCGTAACGTGTCTGGTGCGCCCGTTCTCTGTGCCGTACGGGGTCAGACCAGCACCGGTCCGGTCCGGCCAGTGCTTGACCAGGCTGCGGTGGTCAGGCCCCAGCTGTACACCCCCGCTGCCCGGTCCCGGGCGTCTGCTGGCGCGTCCTCCCGTGCTAGCCCCAGAGGGTGTGTGCGCGACTGCGCAGCTGACGTGCTGCCGCGCCCGCAACAGCGAGTCAAGGAGTGCGACGACCAGGACGTGACGTCGCACCTGCTGTCCTGCCTGCGCTTGCTGGTGCTGCACGCCGACTGCCTGCAGCGGGCGGCGCGCGACCACCGCGGCTTCCACATCTGGTGCCAGGAGAACCTCGTCATCAAACAGTAATCAGGCGTCTGCTCGCCCGCCGCGGGGGCGTGTCGCACTCTCAATGCTGAAATCCCTGCTGCAACCGGCTGCAGCAGGGACTTGCCTGCCTGAATGTAGGGACTTGCCTGCCTGACTGCAGGGACTTGACCAGCTGAGTGCAGGGACTTGACCGCCTGACATGTGTTGGTGTAGGTCAAGTCATTGCAGGCGACGAATCCGGCGAACCGATAAAGTGATTTTTGTCTTTGGATTATTGAAACTTTATACCGTTCGGCTTTTACGTAAGTTGCTCAGTGTAGCCGCGAGGAACATAAGTTACATAGATGAGACCGTAGTATTAGCTTTATTCCTTGGAGAAAACCAGGAGAATGGAGAAATAGATTAGTTGATATCTCGGCAACATGCCTTTATCGAAACAATAACGGACGTGAATCCAAAGTTGCCTGCCGATAATCCTACTCGATTTTTCACGTTGTTTTTTTAAAGCAGCAAGCCACAGTTTTTACAGGACATCAACATTCCGGGAATTAAACAAAGAGCGATTGCCAGCTATTACCACGATACAGTGCATGTCTAAGAATGAGGATACGCGAACATACATGCACATGCAAACGAATTCAAGCAAACGGGCTTCACGCATCACGCTTTATTCAAACATGCAAGCGAGTTGAAGTAAACAGACATCACACATCGCACACCAGTTATACATGCAAGCGATTTCAATTGAACAGGCATCGCATGTTACGCATATATATCGTGTCCTTTATTTTCCGGACAGGAAAAAGTGAATCTATTCTTGTAAAAAGTCGGCGACCAAATCTTAAGGTACAGGGCTCATCATGGTCGATTATGCGAACGTGATATGTGATATGTGTGATTATGTGTGATGCGTGCTAGCTTAAAATTGTTTACATGTGTAAGCGATGCCTGACGCGTGACGTGCGATGCCTGTTCATTTGAAATCGTTTGCGCGCATAATTGATGGGCGATGTGTGATACCTGTTTACTTCAACTCGCTCACTTGCATTTACTCACTTGCATGTTTGAATGAAGCGTGATGCGCGATGCCCATTTGCTTGAATTCGTTTACATGTACACGCGTTTTTGCGTATTCTGATTCTTAGGTATGCACTGTATCGTGGTAGTAGCTGGCAATCGCTCTTTGTTTAATTCCCTGAATGTTGGTGTTCTGTAGAAACTGACACGCTGTTTAAAAAAAACAACTGAAAAATCGAGTAGGATCATTGGCAGGCAATTTTGAATTCTATTCTGCTATTTCAATAAAGGCATGTTGTTGAAACACTAACCAATCCATTTCTCCATACTCCTGGTTTTTCTCCGAGGTATAAAGCTGTTACTACCGCCTTACCGTTTGGCTTTTCGTCGGATGCACTTAATGGCGCGGCCGTTGACAGTGCACGGATTTTTGTAAGAAACGGCAGGAAACGCTGACACTCGGGAATACCGTATGCTACCGTGTGATCTCAGGGATGTCGTGTTCATGGGGAGGCAAATGTTGATGCACGTGAATCCAGCCTTCTGGACGTTTCAACCCATGCGTTCAATTTAATTGCTATCGCTTAAGTTCGGGCATGGATGTGTGTCACCACTGAGCATGGCATGTGAGCACGCTTCTCCGCTGTGTGCGCAGTTCCGTGCCTGCCTGTGCAATTGGTTGACGTACTTAGATACGCTCGTTTTTTGGCTGTTGAAAGCAGTCAGCGCTTTTTGATCTGCCTTCCTTGCCTATTGTTGACATCCCCGTCTCTCGATGTGGCTTTGCTACGTTTAGTTAAATTTTACTACTATTGCTTCACCAATATTTGCCGGTTTGATGTTCGAATCATGGAATTTGCATATGCATGTGTTGTGGCCGCGTGTTTTGTTAGTGCATGTCCGTGGTTTCAACTTTCAAATTGTGCTCTGTGTATGCATTGTATCTTCTTGCGCCGTGACGCTGCGCACATTTCACACAGTGCTCTGCGTGCGCACGCTCACCTCGTTGTTCCGCCGCTGCCGTCCCGGCTACGTCTGCTCCTTCCCGCGGCCGCCGGGCGGGTGTCACCGACCGCCGGGCGGGTGTCACTGACCGCCGCGCAGGTCCCACCGACCGCCGGGCGGGTCCCACCGACCGCCCCGACCTGGGCGCGTCGCGTGACGGGCGGTCCGTGCGCCGCAGACTGTGGGACCTGCTGCAGGCCGAGTACTCTCAGGTCCCGGAGATCGCCGTGCCCGTGCTGCTACATGCCATCACTCTGCCGTGCGGCGCCGACGTCTTCTGGCAGATCGTCGGCAACGAGTTCCACAGCGACGACTGGAAGGTCCGCTTCACCGCAGGTGACTCTCGCGCGGGGGAGAGGGCTCGCTCTGCAGCGGACCGCTGGTCTGTCTCCGCAGGTGACCCACGCGCGCGGGAGGGGGGGGGGGGGCTCGCTCTGCAGCGGACCGCTGGTCTGTCTCCGCAGGTGACTCACGCGCTGGGAGTAGGCTCGCTCTGCAGCGGACCGCGGGTCTGTCTCCGCAGGTGACCCACGGGCGGGAGAGGGGCCCGCTCTGCAGCGGACCGCTGGTCCGTCTCCGCAGGTGACCCACGCGCGGGGAGGGGGCTCGCTCTGCAGCGGACCGCTGGTCTGTCTCCGCAGGTGACTTACGCGCGGGGGAGTGGGCTCGCTCTGCAGCGGACCGCGGGTCTGTCTCCACAGGTGACCCACGCGTGGGGGAGGGGGCTCGCTCTGCAGCGGACCGCTGGTCTGTCTCGGCAGGTGACTCATGCGCGGGGTAGGGGCCTGCCCTGTGGCGGACCGCGGGTCTGTCTCCGCAGGTGATCCACGCGCGGGGAGGGGGCTCGCTCTGCAGCGGACCGCGGGTCTGTCTCTGGTTGGCGTTGCCACAGGTAACGGCCGAAGTCCTGGATGCTACATTCGGACTTGCGCAGTTATCTTGTGGGATTGGCGCGAGCTCGCTGGGATCTGGTGTTCATATCTGGCTCCAGGGCCGGCTTGAGCGTCGCGGCCTGTGAGCGTCTGCCGCCAGCCCTCTCAGCCTGGCCACGTGACCGGTATGTGCTGTGAGCGTGGACTGAGCTGACCGCGTACCCGCCTGGCGCTGCCAGTGGAGCGCGCCACCGTGCTGGCGCGCTTCCTGGAGCCGCCCATGGTGCGCCAGTGCGGCGCCAGCATCCAGGCGCCGCTGGCGCACGTCTTCTCGTACCTGATCCACGCCGTGGACGACCTGTCGGCCGCCGTGGCGCAGAAGGTCCAGCTCTACATGGAGACGATCCCGGACGGCGGCATACGGGTAACGGTCCGGGCCGGCCGGGCGGGCGAGACGCCATACCTGCGTCCGGGCCGGCGGGCCGGGCGAGACGCCATACCTGCGTCCGGGCCGGCCGGCCGGGCGAGACGCCATACCTGCGTCCGGGCCGGCCGGCCGGGCGAGACGCTACGCCTGCGCCCAAGGCGATCTGGCTGACTCTTCGGGGCAAGGCGGGCATCCCTGTCTCTGCCAAGAAATTGAGACAATAACATGATGGGGGCTTTAACAAGTATCGTTTTAGTGAGCTTAGGGTTCGTTTTTTGTTTGTTGTTCTTTGCTGCCAATGAAGTTTTCATGTCTATTGCGTGGTTCAAAGCATCTACGAATTGCTGTGTCCTGCCCATGTATGGATTTTCCGACCTGTTCTTTTGTTCTGTTTTTGTTTGTTTGTTTCTTGTTGTTGTCTTTTTTGTCTCGCTTATGATTTCCTTGCTGTTCACCTGGCATTGTGATTCTGGCCAGTATTAGGTGCCACCTGGTCTAATATGTCGTGTTTGTTACTGGATCGTGTACGTGTGGGGTGACACGCACTGCTATCAGCAGATGGGGTGATACCGCAGTACCGCAATACCGTCATACCGCAATACCACCCGTATGACACTTAAGGCGTGGTTTGAAACAGTGACCTGATCCACCAGCTGATGTTTTGTCGTTGTTATGCTGTCAGACCATCTGCATGTGTCTGGAGACGCAGTTTGACACGGTGATCGTGGACCGTCCGTTGGTGCTGAAGACGGTGCTGCAGCTGTTCCACCTGCTGCCGGCGCGCGGCATCCTCTCCTGGGAGTTCTTCAACAGCCGCCTGGACTCGCTGGTGATGGAGACGCAGATCCGCCTGGAGCGGCGGGGTGATATACCGCTGATGAAGGGTCAGTGCGGGCAGATCCGCCTGGAGCGGCGGGGTGATATACCGCTGATGAAGGGTCAGTGCGGGCAGATCCGCCTGGAGCGGCGGGGCGATATACCGCTGATGAAGGGTCAGTGCGGGCAGATCCGTCTAGGGCGGCCTTCAGCGTGGGCAGTCGTTGGACCTCAGTCTTTCATTAATGACGCGCTCACTCTTTGTATCTGTCACCAGCCGCTACGGCTTATCTCGATTGGTTGGAGGCGACACACTGGGGCGTGTGTCGGAATCAGGTTAAAACGAGTGGCCCATTTAGTGCACTGCACAACTGTGCCATATGCACGTCGTGACCCGTGTTTCCTATGCACTGGCTAAAAATGGGTGAGACTGATGATCAAAAATTGTCGACTCGTGTGATTGATGCTCACTGCTCTGGAAGTCCCGAACGCTGCGTGTCTGAGCAGGGCGATGTGCCAGAATCAATCGGAACTCCCGTCAATAATCCCATACACTGTATTCAAGGTTTCACCAAAGCGTGTTCATACCAGCAGTGTGTCTTGGCTCCATTGACGCTGTTGGCAGCCAACAATGACCCCTGTGCCGCTCTGAGCGGCTCACGCCTGGTCTGATCCCGTTCCCCTCCCTCTAGACCTGAAGTCGGACGGCGGCGCGAGCGAGGCGTACCTACGCCGTCTGACGCGCGCGCACGAGGCGCTCACCTCGGCCGCGGCCGGCTCTGGTCACCGGCGCACGCTCAACTCCAGCATTGGCACCAAGTGGCCCTACAAGCGCACCATGTCGGCGCCAGCCGTCGTGCCGCGGCCAGACAAGAACGGTACGGCCACACCGCGGCGGATGCGACCGCGGCCGGCGGCGCCGCGGCTGTCGGACAGACACCCAGTCGCGGACTGCGGCCGGGCATGGGATTGGTCACAGGATTGCGAACGGACCGCGCGTTATGTGAGGCGCACGCTTGTGCCAGCCGGTTAACTGGTGTTCTCCGCCGGCCGGGCCACGACAGGAATGGCAGCTGGGGGCGAGGGTGACACTTGGTAGTGTCCTGGCGCTGGCGGCAGCCACTGCCGGGCGATGCTGCCGAGTGTCAGACGGACGGCGAGGGCAGTGCTGTGGACTGACCGTCCCGGCACCGTTGCGTTCCAGACATGCAGAAACACAGCTATCCGCGGCAGGCCTCGGCTCCGATCTTGAAGCGGAAGGCGTCTCGGTTCGGCATCTCGCAGGTCAACCACGTGCCGGGTAAGTACTGCCGTGAGGGGGACCATAGGTCGATGACCCTGACGGCACGGCAGCCTTTTAGGCCGGTGGTCGCGCAGTGTGTGTAGCGTGCGCTGCAGCACAGCATTTGACCTCGGGTTCCGCAGGCATGACTGGGTTGCGCCGCCATGTGTGTGTCGTCTACCACCGCGTGCCATCAGCGGTGTCCCGCCCGCGTGCCATCAGCGGTGTCCCGCCCGCGCGCCATCAGCGATGTCCCGCCCGCGCGCCATCAGCGGTGTCCCGCCCGCGCGCCATCAGCGGTGTCCCGCCCGCGAGCCATTAGCGGTGTCCCGCCCGCGTGCCATCAGCGGTGTCCCGCCCGCGTGCCATCAGCGGTGTCCCGCCCGCGTGCCATCAGCGGTGTCCCGCCCGCGAGCCATCAGCGGTGTCCCGCCCGCGCGCCATCAGCGGTGTCCCGCCCGCGCGCCATCAGCGGTGTCCCGCCGGCGTGCCATCAGCGGTGTCCCGTCCGCGTGCCATCAGCGGCGTCCCGCCGGCGTGCCATCAGCGGTGTCCCGTCCGCGTGCCATTAGCGGCGTCTCGCCCGCGTGCCATCAGTGGCGTCCCGCCCCCGCCGACAGAGAATAGTAAGACGTCGGCGGCGGCGGCGCCCGGCTCGGACGCCTGTCTGTCGCTTGTCTACCGCAGTCTGGACAGCGACGAGGGGGACCGCGAGACCACCCACCTGCTGGTCGACCTGCTGATGAAGTTCATGGCCCGGCCAGACCAGGTCAGCCGTGCCCGTCGACCCGTGCGAGTCGACGGCGGCGGCGCTGGTGACGGTCATTCGTCATCCGTCGGCTGCTGACGTCAGCGCTCTGTCGCAGCCCGCTCTGCGGCGAAACAATGGCGACAGCATAGTGACGCTTCTTGTAGCTGTGGCTGTTGCCGGTGTTTGATTGTAGTCCACCACGTCATCAATGTGCGATGTCTTCTTAGACGCCAGCGTCCAGTGCGCGTGTGTGCGTGCGTGCGTGCGTGCGTGCGTGCGTGCGTGCGTGCGTGTGTGTGTGTTTGTGTCTGCTACCGGATCGTCGCTTTCCACATTATAATATGCAGTGGCGAAACCCTAATAGTTAGTTACACGCCTGTGAAACCAGGATGACAAATTTTGATCTCAGCAGTGCTCGCCCTTCCTGCACGAGTGGAATGCAGGCGACGCCACGTAGCCTCAGATGCTGCGTGCGTCATAAATCCCTGATGAAAACAACGCCGGAGTCCGATCTGGTGCCGAGCCTCCCCATGTGCCCGCCGAGCTGGCTGCCGCCGCCGCCGGAGCCAGTGTCCTGTAGGTCCGTGGCGGGATCACGCGACTCTGACATCACGTGTTCGCTGTGTTCTCGCCCGTGCGGTATCGCCTGTTGACAGTGTGCCCGACCGCGCACAGGCGCCACCTGGCGACGACAAGCAGCAGTGCCGCAGCCAGCAACTGGTGCTGCGTCATTTGTCCATGATGCTCGGCTTTAATCAGACCGACAAGACGTTCTTCATGTCGCCCGCCCGGCTCAGGTGCGTGCAAAGGCGTGCTTTGGACCCGGGACCGATACTTGGTGACAGGCATCCCATGCTGCAGCGATAGAAAGATAATACAAATGTGACGGGAAGTATAGTCGTGTGGTATAAAATAATTGTGATCGAAAGATTGTGGTTAAACTTGCCAAAGCTGGTCAGTTTTGTATGAATTCTGTGTTGTCAGTTTGTGTAGCCTGATACACACCACAGCCCGCGCGGCGCCAGTTCGGACGCTAGATTGACAGAGGCTCTGGTCAGCTCAGATACAGATCTGGTCGGACCCACGCAATTGCACTGTAGGACCGCACGGAGCCGGCGCCGAGCGCCAGGCTGACCGTGCCCGGGGTCTGGCGCCATCGGACCGCAGCCCGCCTCGTCCGGCAGGTCGAAGGCGGCCTTCAACGCGTTCCTGTCGCACCTGAACCTGGTGCTGGACCACAACTTCCCGCTGGGCAGCGCGCTGCTGCCGCTGTGCCTGCCGGTGCTGCTGTACAGCGCGGCGCCGTCCCGCCAGAGCGCCGAGACGTCCGGCCGGCCGGCCTACAGTCTCTGGCACCTGGAGGAGCGCCAGCGCCATGACTGGCTCTCCGCCCTGCTCACCGTCCTCTACAAGGTACCGGCGACGCCCGTCAGACGCGGCCCCCCGTCCGTCCGCGACAGTCCAACCCGCCGCGAGCCAGCTGGTTCTTCCGCCGAGGGCCGGCTCACGCGCAGCGTTTGGATGAATGAGGCGGTGATTAGGGTCCTGATTGTGATATGTGTGTGTAAAATCCCATGTCTCAAACGACCATCAAATGCTTCTGTGGCTTACATGACAAAACTACGTTGGTAGCATTTTGTGAGTGATTGTAAAAAGGTTCGATTAATTGTCTTCGTGTGACTTCAAGTAGGACTTGAAGCTATCGCCAGTGAGATTATTCGACCGTTTAAGTTTATTGGCCTTTGTATGGTACAGCTGCCAAATGACCACTGCATTCGGCGCGCCAGAAAACCCCAGTAACGATAACAACAATCTTTGTATCGTAAGATTATGTATCAGGCTCCTGTGCTGGCGCTGACCGCTCCCAACGAAATGCTAAACTCGGTACGCTGGTCCATGTTACACTGACGCCGCTGAATAGCGTGCACACCAGTGGTTTCTCTCAATCCGACACGTTGCTTCATCTAGTCGCCACGTATGTCCTTACAATGTCAAGTAACGGGGAGCTTGATGCCTTTCGCAATTACATCACACAAAATGTGTCGGTTTCGTGTCGGTATTTTGATAATGCGACGTTGATTTCACATAATAAAACAACTCTAAAATGTCCATGAGTGAGCGCTACATGGTATTTGAGTCAATCAATGCGGCCAAGCTGGAATAACCCGTTACGCTTTAAGACGGACTGGGGTGCAGCCCTGTCTTCCGTCGTCGGACTATCGCACACCTCAACTGACCTCATGACGCACCTCAATTTCAACGCATGATTGAAACATGTGGGGTGCAAATCACGTGTGTGATGTGTTTGTGTTTTATCCTGTTTATGTTGTTTGACGGTACGGTATTGCATGACTCCTGTACCCCGACACCCTTGCTGGGTTTAGTGTAAGTTCCTGTTTAGAGCAGCTTTTGCTCATGTTTTGTTCATAATTCTTCATGGTCATTAAAACCTTATAACTGCTTTCCTCGATTGCGATTTTTCGCTTTGTGCACTCAGTTTTTCTACGTACGTACCGGGGCTATTTGACCCGGTGACATCCGTGTGGCCCGGCTGCACCCTCCACCTGATACGGTCGGCTGCTCCTGCCGCCCGCCGCCTGTACGGACGGCCGCTTCTGACCCGCCCGCCGCCCCTGTGGGCTGCTTGTGGCCCGCCTGCCGCCGCCTGGCTTGTGTCGGCGCCGCTGCTCACGCGCCGGCCGGCATCCGCTCTTTGTCTCTATTCCCGGTGTACCCCGCTCTGCCGTCCGTCGGCACCGCTGCTCACGCGCCGGCCGGCATCCGCTCTCTGTCTCTATTCCCGGTGTACCCCGCTCTGCCGTCTGTCGCCGCCGCCCTCTGCCGTCTGCCTGCCCGCCTGCCGCCTGCTGCTGCCTGCAAACGCCGCCCGCCTGCCTGCCGCCGTCTGCTTTCTGGGAACGTCCACCTTACTCCTGCTGCTGTGCGGAAACTCGCTCCCATCGGTCCGCCGTCGCCTGTTCTCGGGGGTCGTCCGCCCGCCTCCGACTGCGGCTGCCTGGGAACGCCCGTGCCGCCCACCGCCGTTCGCTGTCTGGCGTGGCCGCCGCCGTGCGCCGGGACGCGGCCAGAACGTGAGCTGCGCTCCGTTGCAGTACCAGTACGGCGACCCGACCCTAAGCGGGCCGCTGCTGGCGCTCTGCCAAGTGGTGCTCAACACACTGCATCTGTGCCGACCGCTGGCCGAGCCGCCAGCCGCCGCCGCGGCTGCCGCTGCCGCAGCCGCCGCCGCTGCGCCGCTCAGTCGCATAGGTGAGCCGACGCGGGGTGGGAGCTTGGGGGGGGGGGGGGGGGCAAGCTGTCCCCGCCTCCGGCTATTGGTGGGACGGGATGTGAACGGCATTCGGCCTGCTGATCGTAGCGGGTCTGTGCCCTTTGTTGCGGCTGTTTTGTACCTGATGACCGTAGCGGGACTGTGTCGTTTGTTGCGGCTGTTTTGTACCTGATGACCGTAGCGGGACTGTGTCGTTTGTTGCGGCTGTTTTGTACCTGATGACCGTAGCGAGACTGTGTCGTTTGTTGCGGCTGTTTTGTACCTGATGACCGTAGCGGGACTGTGTCGTTTGTTGCGGCTGTTTTGTACCGAACGCGTTACGCTTACAGTCATGCCATTTGCTGGTGTGGCTTTAGAGATGTCAGTCACACACATGGTGCACTTCACTGCATATTTCATGGCGACAAGCTTTCAGACGCGTAGTACGTTGCACCTTGTGATGCTCCTGATTCCTGTCCTTTCCACCCGCCAGGGCACTTTTCGAACAGCTTAAAAGCCTCACTTAACACAGCTAGCCTTCAAGCAGACATAGGGCGACCTGGCATCGGCGGCGGTCATGTCGCGTGAGCGGCCTGACGCCGCGTGTCTCCGGGGCAGGGTCGCTGCAGCCGGCCGCGTGCAGCCCGCCGCCGGGCGGGGCCGAGGACACGCCGCCGCTGACGCCGCGTCCGCCGCCCGAGCTGGCGCCGCCGGCCGCCGCCAGCGCCGTCGGCGACGAGTGGCGCCGCGCCCGACAAGACACCGTCTGGTGAGGGGCACGCCATCATTGCTGGCTGTGTCTGGCGAGGGACGCTATCACCGCCGGCTGTCTGGCGAGGCGCGCTCGAAGGTGTGGCTGTTTGTCTGGTGCGACAGTATGGTACGCTCGGCTGTTGCTGCTGAGATGAAGTCTCGGCCGGAGCTCATGCGGTGAGGCGCGTGCTGAGTGTTCGAGGCAGGAATGGCGTGCGGTGAGCGGCGGCTTTTGACGCATCTGGCGCCTGTTGGCGGTTCAAGAGGCATTCTGTGTGACAAGCGTACCAATGAACCAGTGAAAACGAGTACCGGTCAGTACTGGCTCGTAAGGATTTTTCGATCAAAACGAATTTGTCATTTGGTCTGGAGAGACGCAGATAGTGGTTCGGCTGACGGACCGATCCGCCACCCGCCAGCGGCCGCCCCGGGATGGCACCCATTCAGATTAGTGCAGCCCATGTGGTGACTGCAGTCAGCTGTAAAGCGGCCCGGTTCACCGGTCTCGCGTCTGTCATCCGCGCTGTGCGGCTGTTTGTGGTCTGCAGTCAGCTGTGAAGTGGTCCGGCTCACCGGTCTCGCGTCTGTCATCTGTGCTGTACGGCTGTTTGTGGTCTGCAGTCAGCTGTGAAGTGGTCCGGCTCACCGGTCTCACGTCTGTCATCCGCGCTGTGCGGTGTTTGTGGTCTGCGGTCAGCTGTGAAGTGGTCCGGTTCATCGGTCTCGCGTCTGTCACCCGCGCTGTGCGGCTGTTTGTGGTCTGCAGTCGGCCCACGTTTCAGATTCTGCTTTCTTCGCTCTGCGAAGATCTCGCGGTTGTGTGCGGTGTTGGTAGGCGTGAACTTTTGACGTTTGGTTGTTTTGTCGCCGTTTTAGTTACGGCAGCGAGGACGGCGAAATCGAACCAGAGCTGGAAGCCATCCCAGAGTCTCCAAAGACAGCTTCATCCCACCAAAGCTTCTGTGTAAGTGGTTTGGGATGGAACCATATAGTACCCGCATCCGGCTTACATATAACGTCCCATGTATATTTCGTAGGATTCGCTGGTGCCGCGTACGCCACCTGCGCTGGGTGCTCTCTGTATGTCCGCTTGAAGCACCGCACGTGCGTGACGGCCGCGTTTGGGCGCCGCCAGGGGTCGTTGGTGGACCTGGAGGAGGTGTCGCCCATGCAGTCGGTGCAGCCGGTCCGTGTCGGCTCCTTCTCCGGTCTCGGTGTGGTCGAGGTAGTTCAAACCCATCTGCGTAGCCAATGAGGTCAGATAGACCGTTCTCGTCCGTCACATACAACGGCCATTGTCTTCAGTTGCTGCACCGTGCACTCGATTCAATTGAAAGTACATGGTAGCTCCAGCTAATGGACCGCCATTAATGAATGCACCCTTTTAGTTCTTTGCTTTCAATCTGAGTGTGGCCCCATACTTCTTGGATGGAGGTAGAATTACCCAAAATGATTGCACTGTTCGCTGAAGTGTAGTTCCGAGCTGGTCTTTTGCGCGTGATGGACGTGTTCGGCCGACTCCGCGGCGTTTGGCCGCCCGGCTCACTACTAGAGTCGAATTGGCGTCTCCGTCTCCGGGCCTGACTGGACTTGGTGCCGCCGCAGCTGGCCACAGTGGTGCCGGAGCTGGTCACCATGGTGGACCCTGCGCAGGTGGTCTGCCAGCTGGTGGAGCAGGTGCCAGCCGCCGACTGCAAGTACGGTACCGCGTAGGCCCGACAGAGAGACTGTAGACCTGCTGTCGGAGCGTGCTCTGGCGGTACGGGCTGCTCGGAGGGCTGTTTTGTAAGGAGTTAACGATAAATGCATATGTCTGTAATTTTTCTGCGGGGCCTATTTGTGTGAACATTATGTGGGGGAAGAAATGACCGCATATCAAATTGATAAGGCGGTGGTGATAGCCTTATTCCTCAGAGAAGAACCAGGAAAATGGATGTATAGATTGGTTGATAGTTCGGCGACATGTCTCTGTTGAAACGAGAGCAGAAGTGGTGATCAGAAGTTTTCTCAAATTGCTTGAAATTGTCCGTTCTATCGTAGATATGCGCGATATGACTACCTCCAAATGCGCTCCTGGGTGTCAACATAGTGTGATTGGGTGCTGCTCGGCGTGACCTGACCTGAGCTGAGCCGGGCTGCGGCCGCTGCAGGGCGGCGCCAGCTGAAGAGAGTGTGGCGCTGGCCCGCTGCCAGCCGGCGGTCGCCGCGGTCGGTCCAACCGTACACGAGCAGCCGATCGTGTCTGCGCTCTCGCACGTCACCAGCATCGGCAGCGTGCCCTTCTTGCCCGGCGCGTCGCCCTTCGAGCACAGTGAGAAGGCGGGCAAATTCGCACCACTCGCGCCATCAGGGATGTGGGAGGGGTATTAATCCAGGCGGTGATCGGGGTCAGACAGGATGGAAACCAATACGATGGCGCAGCTTTGCTGTCGTGCGTTTGGAGCTTGTTATATGTGAACTTTGATGTAAGTTCTCGGCCGGCACCACTCGATGCGTGGGTTATGCCTGCAGCAGAATGTCTGTATCTGTGGCACTGGGCTGCGTCGTCCGGGACCGAGGGTTGCTCTCTGTAGGCGCAGTCTTGGCCATCCCGTTGTGACCTGATCCGGCGAAAGCGTGCCTGAACCTGACACCTGGCGATGTCGGCTGGGTGACAGGTCTCTCCCTGGAGGCGCGGTCTTGGCCATCCCGTTGTGACCTGACCCGGCGAAAGCGTGCCTGAGCCTGACACCTGGCGATGTCGGCTGGGCGACAGGTCTCTCCCTGGGGGCGCAGTCGTGGCCCGCCCGTTGTGACCTGACCCTGCTGAAGCGGGCTTGAACCTGACACGCCTGGCGATGTCGACCGGGCGACAGGTCTCTCCCTGGAGACGCAGTCTTGGCCATCCCGTTGTGACCTGACCCGGCGGGAGCGGGCCTGAGTCTGACACGCGATGTCGGCTGGGCGACAGGTCTCTTCCTGGAGGCGCAGTCTTGGCCAGCCCGTTGTGACCTGACCCGACGGGAGCGGGCCCGAGCCTGACACGCCTGGCGATGTCAGCCGGGCGACAGGTTTCTCCCTGGAGGCGCAGTCTTGGCCATCCCGTTGTGACCTGACCCGGTGGGAGCGGGCCTGAGTCTGACACGCGATGTCGGCCGGGCGACAGGTCTCTCCCTGGAGGCGCAGTTTTGGCCCGCCCGTTGTGACCTGACCCGGCGGGAGCGGGCCTGAGCCTGACACGCCTGGCGATGTCGGCCGGGCGACAGGTCTCTCCCTGGAGGCGCAGTCTTGGCCCGCCCGTTGTGACCTGACCCGGCGGGAGCGGGCCTGAGCCTGACACGCCTGGCGATGTCGGCCGGGCGACAGGTCTCTCCCTGGAGGCGCAGTCTTGGCCCGCCCGTTGTGACCTGACCCGGCGGGAGCGGGCCTGAGCCTGACACGCCTGGCGATGTCGGCCGGGCGACAGGTCTCTCCCTGGAGGCGCAGTCTTGGCCCGCCCGTTGCGACCTGACCCGGCGGGAGCAGGCCTGAGTCTGACACGCGATGTCGGCTGGGCGACAGGTCTCTCCCTGGAGGCGCAGTCTTGGCCATCCCGTTGTGACTTGACCCGGCGGGAGCGGGCCTGAGTCTGACACGCGATGTCGGCCGGGCGGCAGGTCTCTCCCTGGAGGCGCAGCCGTCGCCAGCCGAGTCCTGGCAGCAGCCGCGCGCCCAGAGTCTGGCCATCGCGCGCAGCGAGCCGGCGCCGGCCAACGGGGCGGCCAACGGCACCGAGCGCTCGCTGCTCGAGCGGCTCTCGCTGGTCTTCTCCAAACAGGACAGCCACGGTCAGTGTCGGTGAACGAACCGAAACAGAGGAGAGTCGTGTTTTGTCCGCGGCCGATGTGGTGGGAGTCCACACCCGCGTACTGTAGTGGGTGACATGGGCTAGCCTTCCGCAGAGTGCAAGAACCACACTCCGCGTCTGCGCCCCATGTCGACTCCTCCATATTGCTGGGAGTAGACGTCACGTGTGCGGATGGGCGAGCACCAGACACCGGGTATGCACCTTCGTCTGGTCACCCGTCGTCAGAGGACCTTCCTTCAGTGCTCGGAGTCACCGACCGCCTGGCCGGTGGCGCACGACCTCGTGACGGCGAGGATTGTGCCAGTGGGGCGGGTTATGAGCTGGCCATCTGACCCTCTGAGAGTGAGGCGGTTTGTGTGACCCTGGCTCGTGACCGCGGCGGCAGGCCCTGGCGCTGCCGGACGCCTCGTCTCGTCGCTCCAGCTGCAGCTGGGCGCCGGACAGGCCGCCCCGGACGGCAAGAGTCGCGAGCCAGACACGCTGGCCAACCAGAGCAGCGCCAGCACCGAGGATGACGGTCAGTGCCGCGCCCGGCCGGGCTACAGATATAAGCGAGGGCGCTGAATTCATCCAGATCTGTGTCGAAACGTCACACGGGCTCGGCTGCCGACCGCGGCGTGCTGCTCTGGATCCACGACTGCTGTGAGCAGCTGCGTTACTTATGACCGGAGTGGTTTATGGAGCAGTTATGGAGCAGAGCGTTACTTATGACCGGAGTAGTTTATGGAGCATAATCCCACCACTGTTCAGACCACGAGTCTGGTCAGGATCGCGAGCTGAGGTCTTGTGTCATTACTCCTGAGTTTAGCTGGAGGCTCAGACTCAGGCCTGAGCGAGCTGTTACAGCCTTTCTTCGAGGCGGGTGTCAGCGCCGCTCAGTGATCCCGTCACCCGCCTTCAGTGCAGTGGCTGCGCGGTGACCGAGCAGGCTCGTGGCGCACTGTGAGCCGCGCGGTCCGTGCTGACACCGCCGTCCTCTTCAGCCGGCACACCCGGCGACGAGCCGGCCGTCCATCGTGCCTACATCAAGCAGCCCAAGTCGAAGAAGCTGGGCCTGAGCCCCGTGGAGCAGGCGGCCGCCGAGAGTCGCACGGCCAGGTGAGGCACGCCCCGCTCCACAGACGGCTAGGTGAGACACGGCCCGCTCCACAGATGGTCAGGTGAGGCGTGACCCGCTCCATAGATGGCCAGGTGACGCACGCCCCGCTCCACAGATGGCCAGGTGAGACATGCCCCGCTCCACAGATGGCCAGGTGAGGCACGCCCCGCTCCACAGATGGTCAGGTGAGACATGCCCCGCTCCACAAAAGGCCAGGTAGGCACGCCCCGCTCCACAGACGGCCAGGTGAGGCGTGCCCCGCTCCACAGACGGCCAGGTGAGGCACGCCCCGCTCCACAGACGGCCAGGTGAGGCACGTCCCGCTCCTCAGATGGCCAGGTGAGGCACGTCCCGCTCCACAGATGGCCAGGTGAGGCGTGCCCCGCTCCACAGATGGCCAGGTGAGGCATGCCCCGGTCCACAGGCGGCCAGGTGAGGCATGCCCCGCTCCACAGATGGCTAGGTGAGGCGTGCTCCGCTCCACAGATGGCCAGGTGAGGCTTGCACCGGTCCACAGACGGCCAGGTGGCGCGCGCCCCTCTTGGCAGATGACCGGTCGGCGGCGCTGCACCGGCACTCGCGCCGGCACGCCGGCAGAAGCTGTAGTTCTAGTTTGTGTTGTGCGAGCTCTAGGTTATGATAGTGGATGGGTATCCCAACAATATGCAGCCGTCGTTGCGATGTGCTCGATCCGAGATGTGCTCTTCCGTGGTCGACATTACGGGTAATACAATCTGACTCATTTGTGGATCACCTGATAACCTCCTGGCGAGGGCTGACCTTGGCCATGTCTTGTGGATGTGGTTGGTTGGCAGGCGCTGCTCCGCACGGTAGTGATGCGGCCGGCGGCAGTGCCACAGGCCCCGCTCGGTGCCATAGTGGCGCTGGCAGGTGGCAGTACCTCAGGCCCCGCTCGGTGCCATAGTGACGCTGGCTGGTGGCAGTGCCACAGGCCCCGTTCGGTGCCGTAGTGACGCTGGTTGGCGGCAGTACCACAGGCCCCGTTCGGTGCCGTAGTGACGCTGGTTGGCGGCAGTACCACAGGCCCCGCTCGGTGCCGTAGGGACGCTACCTGGCAGCAGTACCACAGGCCCCGCTCGGTGCCGTAGTGAAGCTGGCAGGTGACAGTACTACAGGCCCCGCTCTGTGCCGTAGTGATGCTGGTTGGCGACAGTACCACAGGCCCCGCTCGGTGCCATAGTGACGCTGGCCGGCGGCAGTACCACAGGCCCCGCTCGGTGCCATAGTGACGCTGGTTGGCGGCAGTACCACAGGCCCCGTTCGGTGCCGTAGTGACGCTGGTTGGCGGCAGTACCACAGGCCCCGCTCGGTGCCATAGTGACGCTGGCTGGCGGCAGTACCACAGGCCCCGCTCGGTGCCGTAGGGACGCTACCTGGCAGCAGTACCACAGGCCCCGTTCGGTGCCGTAGTGACGCTGGCTGGCGGCAGTACCACAGGCCCCGCTCGGTGCCATAGTGACGCTGGCCGGCGGCAGTACCACAGGCCCCGCTCGGTGCCATAGTGTCGCTGACTGGCGGCAGTACCACAGGCCCCGTTCGGTGCCGTAGTGACGCTGGTTGGCGGCAGTACCACAGGCCCCGCTCGGTGCCGTAGTGACGCTGGCTGGCGGCAGTACCACAGGCCCCGCTCGGTGCCATAGTGACGCTGGCCGGCGGCAGTACCACAGGCCCCGCTCGGTGCCATAGTGTCGCTGACTGGCGGCAGTACCACAGGCCCCGTTCGGTGCCGTAGTGACGCTGGCTGGCGGCAGTACCACAGGCCCCCCTCGGTGCCGTAGTGACGCTGGCTGGCGGAAGTACCACAGGCCCCCCTCGGTGCCGTAATGACGCTGGCTGGCGGCGGTACCACATGCCCCGCTCGGTGCCGTAATGACGCTAGCCGGCGGCGGTACCGCGTGTGTCCTGTCGCTGTCATCCGCCTCACACCGCCATCCCCTGCGTTCGGCGGAGCTGACGGTGACGTGTGTGGGCCCGCAGCCGGTGGTCCCGCCGGGACAAGCCGGCCGAGGAGAAGCCCGCGCCCAATGTCAAGCAGTGCAGCCTCCGCGTCGGTAACGACTGTGTGCAGGAGAGGTGAGAGCGTCCTCCCTCTCCCCCCCCCCCCATTCGTTTGTCTATTCTAAGTGACCCGCGATGGCTGACAATTATAATGATCCCATTGTTTTTGAACGTTGTTTAAAAGTCGGAAAAATCAAGTCAAACTATGTTGTGCTGTGTAGTGTGCCCGTTGGCCGCGTGGTGTCGTACGCCAGTAATTAAGATTAGTTGTTGAAGACTCAAGGCTCTCCCAGCTATTGATGAGTGAATACTTGAAGGACTAGACAGTACTTCCAGAATGATACCCGGTTTGCCGTTGTCCGGCTACTGTCCGGTGCCGAGCCGTCTGATCGTGCCCCCGGCCGGCCCCAGGTGTCCGCAGTGTGGCCTAGTGCCGAACCGTCTGATCGTGCCCCCGGCCGGCCCCAGGTGTCCGCAGTGTGGCCTGGTGTTGGGCCGTCTGACCGGTCCCAGGTGTCCGCAGTGTGGCCTGGTGCCGAGCCGTCTGACCGTGCCCCCGGCCGGCCCCAGGTGTCCGCAGTGTGGCCAGGTACGCGAGGACTACACGGAGGAGGAGCTCGGCCTCTGCGTGGTCGTGCTGGCCACGTTCGTGCACCGTGAGCCCTCGCTGGCCGCCTGCATGCTGCCAGACATGCTGCGTGCCGTCTCCACGTAAGTCGGCCCGGCGCGTGGGCCGAGCCGAGCTGGCTCGGCTGCAGCTGTATTGGCGGTCCTCCGGGGGCGGCTGGCTGTGGCAGCGTGCATCTAGTGCATGCAAGGGACATTTTCAACAGGAGTTGAAAACGTCCGTTGGCCTGTCTTTGCACTGTTGTATGTGAATAGATATACTTCTGCCACAATTTGATTGTGGTAATTGTTTTCTGGGTGCAAATGCCTTACAGATTGTTGGTTTCAATTGTAGGGATATGTAGTCATAGACATCTCTCAAAGCACATTTTTCAGCATTTCATTTGCTGTGTGATGCTAAGTGGCCCCCCGATCTGTTCGGGTTGTCTTTGTGTCATTACTGAGTTCAAAGCGAACCCAGTGGCTGTATTACGCCACTGGTCTGCATCGCCCGGCTACCGCGTGTGAGCGACGACGATCTGACCACCGCTGTGTGCTGGTCGCCGTTGTGCTGACCGCCGCTGTGTGCTAACCGCCGCTGTACTGGCCACTGCTGTGTGCTGACCGCCGCTGTGCTGGGCGCCTCTGTGCTGGGCGCCGCTGTGCTGACGGCCGCTGTGCTGGCTGCCGCTGTGCTGGGCGCCGCTGTGTGCTGACGGCCGCTGTGCTGGCCGCCGCTGTGTGCTGGCCGCCGCTGTGCTGACGGCCGTTGTGCTGACGGCCGCTGTGCTGGCCGCCAGCCTGGCCGGCCGCCAGCGGTACCCGTGGCAGTCCGAGTCCAGCTACAGCCTGCCCGGCTCCGTCAACAGCGTGTGCCGACAGTTTCTTCGCTGCGTGCTGCACCGTCTGGCCGCACACAACATGTTCTTCAAGCTCTTCCAGGTGGACATGGACGGTGAGCTGCCACCAACGCCCGTAGTCAGAGTGTGCAAAGATTGTATTTGGATTTAGTTTTTCAACCGTTTGAGTGGCAGTCTCTTTACGAAATGAACTTTGCCTCGCGCTTAGGTGGATCACGTTTTTCGTGATGCACCTAATGCACCATCATCGTTTTCCTACGGTTCTTAATCAAATGGATTTCAAAATATTTTACCTTCGAACTAACTAGTGCTGGTTTGACTGGGTCATATGAAGCTCCGTAAGGTGTCCTGCACATACGTTATCATCATAATGAGACTGCAATAAATTCACATTAGTTAAAGCACTCCACAGCATCTTTCCATCTGTCAGCTAATTTTCATGTTCTCGTCATAGTTTTAACAAACGTTCTTGTGCTGCTTTTCAGTGGAAACGACGCACGCGTTTTACCGGACTTTGGCGCAGGCGCTGGCGGACTTCGCCGAGCTGAACACGGCCGCTCCTCTACACCATCTGCTGGAGGTCTGGAACACTGGCTCTGCCTCGTTGCGGTTTTCCTTGATCTACATCCATTGAAACCAATGTGCGAAATGCGCCTGGAGCCTGTGAATGCAACGTGCGGATATTCTGCTGCGTCGTCTGTGATTTGTTATGGTGAATAGCGCGCTGTAGTGTTCCTGTTCGGGATATCATGTTGAACTGAGCTGATGGTGTTGCGGCGGCGATGCTGCACTATTGCAGTCGCACGGTGCGGCTGCTCTGTCGTGACGCGGCGGCGATGCTGCACTGTTGCAGTCGCACGGTGCGGCTGCTCTGTCGTGACGCGGCGGCGATGCTGCACTATTGCAGTCGCACGGTGCGGCTGCTTTGTTGTGACGCGGCGGCGATGCTGCACTATTGCAGTCGCACGGTGCGGCTGCTCTGTCGTGACGCGGCGGCGATGCTGCACTATTGCAGTCGCACGGTGCGGCTGCTCTGTTGTGACGCGGCGGCGATGCTGCACTATTGCAGTCGCACAGCGTGGCTGCTCTGTCTTGACGCGGCGGCGATGCGTTTCAGTACTTGAACCGTCAACGGACGGCGCCGTGCCTGGACGAGATGCCGACGATCCTGTACAACATGTCCGTGTACCTGGAGTCGGTGCCGCTGGAGACGGCCGGCCAGCTGTACGGGCCGCTGGTGCCGCAGCTGGACGTGCTGTTCCGCCGCCTGCTGCCCTGCCTGGCTGCCCTGCCGGAGCTCGACTCTTTGCTCGCCATCATGTGCTCCCTCCTCAAGATACCCACCGTTAACATGTACAAGGTTCGGCCTCAGCACGTGCGACTGTGGCAGCTGCACCGAGGCGCTGTGCACAGAACGCCCTCATTCAACACGTACACGACCCGCGTGGGGCACGGGCGAGCAAGAGCTCCAAGGAAGCGGCGATGTACGTGACATCTGCTCCAGAACCACGTAGTCCGTGGGGCATCAGCTGACGTGGCGCTACGTCCTGTTCTCAGTTCTCGGATCACGCACATCCGTGTGTCATCAGTGCAGGACCTTATGTACACCAGTGCAGGACCATAGGCTCACTAATGTACGTCCTTATGTCCATCAGTGCATGTTTGTATGCCCACCAATGAACGTCCTTATGTCTACCAGTGAATGGCCTTGTGTTCACCTCTGTATGTCCTTAAGTCCACCAATGTACGTCCTTATGTCCACCAATGTACGTCGTTATGTCCACCAGCCCGTGGTGAGACGCCTGGAGTGTTGGCACGCCTCCGTTCGGGCGGTCAGTCGCCTGGTGCTGTCCTCAGACGGTGCTGGAGCCGTTCTCCAAGGTGGTCAGTCTGCTGGTGCAGAGTCGGCCCATCGACTACCGCCGGCTGGTGGAGCTCTGCCACCTCTGTAACCGCGTCTTCAGTCGGGTCAGTGGCCGCCGCCGGCCGCCGTATGCCGACAGTGTACCGGGCCCCCGGCACCGCAGTCCGGCACCTCCGCCACCGCCTGGAGTCTTGGTCGCCGATACAAAGGCGCGCTCTTCTGCCATCTTTGCCATATTAATGTTGGTGCTGAAATTCCTGCTGAATTAGAAACTGCCATCAAATGGCATCCCAGCGTCGAACTTGATATTTTTGAGCATAGACTTCCGCATATTGGAGCGAAAAAGCTGATGTTTAGATTTTTATCGGTGAGCTTTTTGACAACGGGACTGAAATATCGGTCGTTACGCCACTGGCGTGTGCTTCATTTGACGCGTGTGACCCCCAGGAGCGTGAGAAGCAGCAGCTGTCGCGTGTGGTAGTGTTTGAGCTGGTGCAGGCGCTCAAGTTCAAGTCAAACCCGCCCGATACCAACCTGCTGCTGCTGGTCCACTTTGTCGTGCAGGTCAGCTGTTATTCAGTTTCGTTCGTCCCGTCGGCCCTCGGCGCCCGTCGGACCTCACTGGCTGGGCCTACTCAAACATGGACTGGTTAAGCATGCTACAGAGCATTATAATTTGTTGTATTGTTGCATTTATGTAATGAAATATTTTGTAATCTGCTAGAACTAAGCTATTTCGAGTCAATGGCCAAAGAAGGAAGCATGGTTTGGTATGGATTATTTTCCTGTCGGCCAGTAATGACCATTTTCGACCTGTGGGATGAAGGGCAGTGGATGACGGTGAAGCAAAACTGCGTGCACCGGGGGCCCACCCGCCGAGACTTAGTTCGCATGAGGATCCCTGCACAGTGTATGTGCTGGGCGCTCTGACAGGGCCATCACCAGGGGACACTTAGGCCCCCTCGTGGCTGGTCCGTGAAGATCGCCTCGGACAAACGGGGCGTCGTGACGATGCAAGACAAAGCGGGAATGAGGCAAGAAGGGCGGATAAAGCAGAAAGTCGATGTTGTATTATCCTTCTTGCAAGGAAGCTGTGCACATTCCGCGGGATCCCACAACGCTGATTGGAGTGCAAGGTCTTTTCCCTTTTCCCGACAAATCTGTGTTTTTGGTAGCGCAGTCTGCCCGGGCGGAGCTCGGAGCTGCATGTCTCGTGCCCATGCGAGGTGCACCCCAGCGCCCAGTGCGACGGCACCGCGGTCGCAGTACGTGTCCCCCTACGTCGGCAGGACGCCGGCGGCGCGATGGCGCCCAGCACGGTGCTGGACCAGGTGCCGGACCTCGGGACGGACACGGCCGGCAGCACGGCCGCCTCCGAGTGCATGCGGCAGCACCTCAACGACACGCTCGACTTCCTGGCTGACGTGCACACGCTCACCAAGATCAAGGTAGCCGCGACGGTTCAACTGCACACGGCAGCATGGTGGGAGCGCTCGGTCAGGCGCAGCAGGCGCTGGTGAACATTGGTTTGGTGGAAATGTAGATCACAATCAAACATCCCGCCATCTGGCCAGATTGGAGGCAACGGTTGGTAAACAGTATTGGATTTTGACCGAATATGGTGCGCTTCCTCTGGCGAACGGGGGAGCACTTTGACGACCCGCGACCCAACAGCTGCCAAAGTGCGTCCAACGTACGATCTTGCGTGATCGGATGATGCCGGTGGCCTCGTGGCTTAGTTACCGCGTTACTTTTACAAGGTGGTGATCTCCGCTGTGTTGTAGACGGTGTTGCGCGTGTGTGCTACCTGCAGCAGACCTGACCGCTTGACCTGACGTGACATGTCCATGTCTGGTGTCGTCCCGCCTGCAGAGTAATTGCGGTGGTCCACTGCGCGGCCTCAACGAGGACACGATGGGCGGCGTGCTAAAGGCCGGCATCGCGCAGTTTGTGGCGCTGGAGATCAGCCGCGGCAACAGCAGGGAGAGCCGCGCCATAGGCCGCTACCTGCCCTGGCTGTACAACCCGCCCTCTCCCGTCCAGCAGGGGTGAGCTGTACAACCCGCCCTCTCCCGTCTGGCAGGGGTGAGCTGAGCAACCCGCCCTCTCCCGTCCAGCAGGGGTGAGCTGTACATCCCGCCCTCTCCCGTCCAGCAGGGGTGAGCTGTACAACCCGTCCTCTCCCGTCCAGCAGGGGTGAGCTGTACATCCCGCCCTCTCCCGTCCAGCAGGGGTGAGCTGTGCAACCCGCCCTCTCCCGTCCAGCGGGGGTGAGCTGTACAACCCGCCCTCTCCCGTCCAGCAGGGGTGAGCTGTGCAACCCGCCCTCTCCCGTCCAGCAGGGTTGAGCTGAGCAACCCGCCCTCTCCCGTCCAGCAGGGGTGAGCTGTACAACCCTCCCTCTCCCGTCCAGCAGGGGTGAGCTGTACAACCCGTCCCCTCCCGTCCAGCAGAGGTAAGTTGCTGGCACGGCGCTCATGAACCGGCGGCTGGGTGGACAACAGCTTTATGAAAATATCGCCACTTGTGTAGCTTATCGATGCTCCGCCCGTCTTAAGCTAAGGCATACAGGCGATGTGCGTCCAATAGACGCAATACTACTGCATCAAAGCTGTCCCTGAACTGTCAAACTGCCTGACATTTTGTGTGGTGCGTGCCTCTGCCAGACCGAAGGAGTTTATCGACTGCGTGTCTCACATCCGGCTGCTCTCGTGGCTGCTGCTGGGCGCCATGACACACGCCGCCGTCATGGGCCCGCACGCCACCGTGGTGAGTCGGTGCAGCCTGCTCTCACCCTGCTGGATAAGCCAGCGGCCGGCTGCTCCCGTATCGGCTGTACTGATGGTTTGTCGCAGTGAATTCATCGAGATATTTGCCGTGTATTACCACTCAACATAGCTGATTTGTATCCGTTTGGCCGCTTCTGATTGTCCGCCAGAAGGATTGCTCTGACATTCCGGTGCCTTTAGTCGGTGTTCGGCTCGCCGCCTGCGCCGGCCGGTCTGGCGGCGGGGGCTGTGATGGCGCCGGTCACGGGCGCGGCCGTGCTGACCCAGCCGCGTGACCGGTCTGCGGACAGACGTGCCAGCCGGTGCCACTGGAGGCCAGCTGCCACATCGCCGACCACATCCAGGTGATCCTGGCGGGCTTCGCCGAGCAGAGCAAGGCGTCTGTGCTGCACATGAGCTCGCTGTTCCACGCGTTCATCCTGTGTCAGCTGTGGACCATGTACCTGGAGGTGGTGTCGGCTGGCCAGGCGCCGCCCGGGCACGAGCAGCACCAAGCGGCGCTCGCCATCCTGGCCGACTTCTGGGCCAAGGTCACGCCCGGCATCCTCCAGCTGGTCTCGCACTCACGCGTGGTACGTGCGGTCGGCGCCGACCGGTCCCGGTGGGCCTATCGACCATTGCTTTCATTCGCGGATGTTCAAAAGCCGATGGCGCTCAGCAGGGCGGGATATACCTGGAGAAGTCAGGGCTTCAGTGGGAGGCTCTTGATAGTGCGTCGCGTGTCTGCTGGCAAAACCGGCGCACAATTTCGATGTCCAAATTATAATTATTTCGAAGCATGACTGTCATGCTTCATGACATGACACGACATCATGTGTCACATGCTGCATTGCTGACAAATGACCAGCTGTTATTCGGATGTGTCGGAGGGGGGGGGGGGGGGCTGTGGTTTGACCACTGTCCTCAGTTGTTTTATTTGAAGCTGGAGTTCCGCAGCGTCATTGCTTCTCTATGTGGCCGTTATAAGCCGCCGATCTGTGCTGTCCTCTGACGCCTCGGACAGGCGCTCGTGCCGGTCGGGCCGGTCCCGTCCCGCCCGCCTCGCTCTGTCGCTGCCCGGCTCTCCTCTGATCCCTGGCTCCTCCTCACTGTTCAGCTGGGCGAGATGGTGAACCTCCACTTTTTGAGCTTGATGGAGGCGCTGGCCGAGTGTAACGCCTCCACGCTGGCCCGCCTGCTGCCGGTCTGGACGCAGGTGTTCTACGCGTACAACCAACAGGTGAGTGAGAGGCAGCACTCAGTACCGCCACTCAAACCTGCACACACTGGTGAGCCGTAGGTGAGTACACTGAGCCAAAACTTTAACCGCCAACAAGGAACAGCGACCAGTTTGATCCTGTTCCCAGTGTAATATTTGGGTGGTACATTTTTGTCGAGTAAACTTGGGGCTATGATGTGCTTTAGATAATGGCGCGGTGTACTGGTTGAGACATGTTGCAGCACGGTCATTCAATTGATTATAAAATCAGGATGTAATTTTTAGCAAGTGTTGAGCAAGCTACAAACATATCCTATTTGGTAATTTTACCTTGTGACATTAGTCTTGGGTGGCAAGGATTGTCAACGGAGATGTAACTGAGATAATTCCTCTGTATTTACTCGGCAAATATACGCGCAGTTCCGCCGGTCAATGTGTTCTTTGTTTGCGTATACGTGGTGGCGAGCGTTATCGCTGTGACAGGTGCGTCGAGTCACGACAGTATATCTGTACTTAAGTGGGCCTCGTCCACCACTGCCGGCCTGCTCCTCCAAAAGGGGAGCTAGCCGGCCGAGCCGGAGATCCACCGTGTCGTGTTCTCCTCCACTGCAGGCTCGTGACCACCCCGGCGGTATGTAGCGTCCCCACGGCGTGGCTGCCCGCCCGCTGACCGTCGTGCGGGCCGGCCCCGCCTGAGCGCTCGGCTGACGGGAGCGCGTCGGCGTGTCTTCTGTTCACAGCTGCCGGGCCACCTGAGCGTGCGGCTCCAGAACTGCCAGTCGCAGCCGGCCGGTCAGGGCTGTCACCCACAGGGCTGCCAGTCGCACCCGACCGGCGCCGGCGGGTGTGCGGCACAGCCAGGCGGTGCCGGCGCCGGTGCCGCCGCCCAGCGGCCCGGCGGCGCCGCCCAGCCGGCCGGACACAGCTGCCAACAGCTGCTGCTCAGCTGGATCCAGCGGCTGCAGTTCAAGATGGGGCAGATCGAGTTGCAGAGCTCGGCGGCCGCGCAGTTCTACACTGTCTGAGGCAGCTCGGTCCAACACGGTGTGAGGCCACACGGATTGGCACTGTGTGCGGTCGCGCAGATCTACTCGGTTTGACTACGCCCGGTACTCCGTATTGAGATCGTGCAGTTGTACTTGGTCTGAAGGTCAGGTCTCAGGCGGTCTCAGCCGGTTGGGGGGGTCGCAGAGTCCGCCGCACCAGACGCACGGGATGGTGGCGTCGAGCGTCATCCGTCGATGTGATGTCCCTGCCTGTGGCACCCCCGTGTGAGCGGCGAGCACCACCCGTCGATGTGATGTCCCCGCCAACATCCCCCTTGTGAGCGGCGAGCACCACCCGTCGATGTGATGTCCCCGCCAACATCCCCCGTGGGAGTGGCGAGCACCACCCGTCGATGTGATGTCCCTGCCAACATCCCCCGTGTGAGCGGCGAGCACCTTCCGTTGATGTGATGTCCCCGCCAACATCCCCCGTGTGAGCGGCGAGCACCACCCGTCGATGTGATGTCCCCGCCAACATCCCCCGTGTGAGTGGCGAGCACCACCCGTCGATGTGATATCCCTGCCAACATCCCCCGTGTGAGCGGCGAGCACCTTCCGTTGATGTGATGTCCCCTCCAGCATCTCCCGTGTAACCGGCGGGCGTCAACCGTCGATGTGATGTCCCCGCCTGTGGCACCTCCGTGTGAGCGGCGAGCACCTCCCGTCGATGTGATGTCCCCACCAGCATCCCCCGTGTGAGCGGCGAGCGCTACCCCTCGATATGATGTCCCCGCCAGCCCCCCCCCCCCCCCCCCCCCCCCCCCCCCCGTCACGCCACCAGTCGAGTGTGCACCTGCCGACGAGTCAGGGCCGTCTCAAGGTCTATAACGGTCGCGCGGCGGTGAGCGTGACTCGGTTGTGTGGCGACGCTCGCGGCTTCAGCGGGACTGAGCGAACCGCAACAATCTTCGGAGCTTCGCGTTTGTTGTCGCTACGAAAGTGACTGTAAAGATAGCGATAGTCCCAGGCAGAGTATAGCAGTGGCTCTCCGGACGCGTCACGTACGTACTTCTGTGGTTTATACGAGCCCGTAGGAGCTTGCCAGAAACTAACGGCGCGCACTTGTCATTGACATCGCACGGGACACGTGTGCCTCGCCACATGCGTCAAAGCATATTTGCGACATGACTGCCAGAGGATAGTGCCCAAATTGTCTTACGGAGCGCGCAGCCGATTAACAACGCCGCCCGTACCGCCAAACAATCTGTACATGTTACGTGTTAGGTATGTTACACATTCTGCCGCGTACTGTGGTTGTTGTAAGTGAGCTGCTATTGCTATCGTTGCGCGCATCTAGACGGCTCTATGAATGCACAGAAAACACCAGTACTATTTTGCGTCGTTTCCGTACTTCCCCTAGACTGTTATATGTGTTTACCCCTGTATTACGTGGTATGCCTAGTCTCCACATTTTCGCGTGGTGTTGGTCTACGACGCCTCCGTTAAGCGGCTCCGTCTCCCTGTTGGTGGCGCCTCGTCTGCGGGCGGGACTCTGTGCCATTCATTACCAGTGATTGGCAGCATTTGCTGTGCAGTCTGTGTATGTGTAGCCTAGTGCTTGCCCCGGTCCGGGACTGATGACTTAACTGTACCTGCTCTAGTCACTGCTAGTCAATACATGTATTGTACACGTCTGTCTGCGATGTATTCGTACCTGATGAACCTGGTGAGTAGACAGGTGCTTTGATGTCAATGATCGAGATGGCGGCAACGCGAATCCGAAAAACGACCATGCATTTGTCTGGCGCAGGTGCAGGGTAGAGTCCCCGCCGGCCCCTCGCAGCATGCGCTTATCGGGCCACTAATAGGGCTTGCTCAGCGATTTCACACCCTACCAAAGCAGAACACGAGCGGCGATGACTGCCTGAGCTCGAGTCGCCATATTTTTACCAGGGACGATATAAGACTGTACCGGCCGCGTGAAGTTCGTCCACTATGGGCGACCCTCGTTCGGTCAATGTCGAACTAGTACGGTGTCAGCTGAGTGAGGGCTGCACGTGTTAGGCCGCGTTGGCCGCCGTAGGCCAACATTACGGGCAGCGTATCAACCGTGAACAACATCGTGTGACCTAATGTGTCTTTACTGCCAGCGGACTTGCGGCCCCAACCTGCCTCGTGGCTGCTTGAGTGGCATAGCGTTGAGACAAGCTGGTCACTTGACCCTTGGTCGCCATCTAAAAGAGCCGTGGCTTAGCCCTGGAGGATATTATAAATCCCTCCCAGTCCTCAGGGTTCCGTCAACGTTATCGCATGTTGTGAATGACCCCTCACAACTTTAAACCTGTTCGGGACGTTATGTCGACTGGAGACTGGCGGAGCCTGTCCGGAGAGTGGGACGGAGCGGAACCCGCCTCGATCCGAACCGGCAACTGACGGCTGGGCCCTGGCGGTCGCCATCGCGAAGCATGTCGAAATAGTGGCAGTTCGGATGATTAAGTATTAAGTAAATAATGGGCATGGCATCCTATATATGTCCTATGAGAGCCGCATTTGTCTCATATGCAACAGGACTGAGCCAGCATTCATCGTTGAGTGTTCTCTTGCGATGAACCGTTGGTATCCAGGGCAGTAGAGCACTTTGTATCCATCCGTGGTTGGTATGGTACGTGTTGCATTGGTACCCACGATATCCGGAGGTGTTTACCGCGGTCTTTACAGGACTGTAGCAGTGCGTGTGATTAGTTTTTCATGACGTAGACCATTTTAATGACATCAGCGCAGTCTTCTTGCGTTGTGTCCATTTGGTAATGATAAATAGCATATTGGACCTCATTCATGTGCCTTATTATACCAAAGCCTTTCTTTCATACATGCTATGCTGCCAGCATGAGAAGGCTTTTAGCTGGTTAACTACAGCAACATTGTTTATTTGTTACAGTTCTAAGGATATGCTACTTGCTACCATGATGACTTACTGCACCAACACTTACTGGATGATGCATGAGGAGCAGGATTGGATGTGTTTATTTGGAAGCCAGTTGTCAACCCAGATGTTAAGAATATATAGGTAACATAAAAATTTCATGATTGTCAATACATGTTGCGTAGACAATGACAACTAATGTGATCCTGGCATTGATTCTGCATAAAACATATGATTAGACATGATGCCAAAACATGCCCTGAAATTCATTCAGCCACCATGAAAAGTTATTTGTGAAGAACAAACACTCTTGTTGTCTTTTGAGTGGACAATCAATGTAATTACAACTAGTTATCCTATGCTCAAAACTTGTTAACCAATCAAAGAAAACTCCTTGCTGCACAGCATATGCCTATAGTCCTATGCACCCCAAATCTATATAATTTTGATCCTGTAAAATGGTTTACTTAGCTCAAGTGGGTACCACCAGCTTAAGTTGGTACTGGTATTTATTTGAAAATTTTACCAGCAACTCACCAATGCTGTTCTTTGGTTTGAATTTTTGGCACATTGGGTGTCTTCTCACTTGTTTTGTCATTTAAACTGTGCCAGTGCACATTTTTGTACTGTGTTCCTCAGTGTACACATCTTTGTATGTGGAATTTGCTATCACCTTGCTTTATATTGTATGTCTTCCCATGCAAATCTTTGTATATGCAGATTTTTGTAACTGAAAGGCTTAATGCACAAATCTTGGTAACACAGAATTTTGTATTCACAAATTATAATTGTAGAAGTCACAAAATGGAACAAAGCTAAAGAAAGAGATTTTGACATAATTGCCAATAATGCAAAGTTATAAGTGCCATTTTACCTAATGGTGCTTCAACATCTTCTGTGGATTACAGATGATGCTAGTTTTTCAAAAGGTTTACACATATTCTCACCTCAAGTAGTGTCAATCATTTATCTGTGGACTTCCACAGTGCATTGCATTTACACCCAGCTGCTAGCCAGCGGCTCTCCATGGATCGGGAGGAGTCTGTCTCCTCCCTGGGAAGCATCAACCTGGATGCCAAGCCCAAGAAGAGCATCCTGAAGCGGAGCGAGCCGGACGCCGTCGAGTCGGGCGACGGTGGTGGCGGAGCAGGCGGCGGTGGCCGGCGCCACGTGCCCTTCAGCCACATCCTGCCTGAGCTGTCGCGGCTGGAGGAGGAGGACGACCGGCTGGGCAGCGCCGCCGTCGCCGCCGCTGGCTACGACCTGCAGAGTGTCAGCAGCGCGGCCAGCCTCAGCCCACTCAGTTCTGACGACCAGCTGGGCGGTGAGCCGCCGCCGCGCCGCTCCGACAGCCCGCCGCCGTTCGAGGAGGACGCCCTGCTCAGGGGGCCGCTCCGGCGCAGGAAGCGCGGAGTCCGCATGAAGGGCCGCCAGCGCCGGCCGTCCGGCTCGCCGCCGCTGTCGGCGCTGCTCGCCTCGCTGGGCGCGCTGCCGGCGGCGCGGCCGGCGCCGGCCGAGTGGCGCCCTCCCAGCGAGAGTCCGCCACGCCGCGTTCGGTACAGCCCGAGTCCGCCGCGCCGGAGCCGCAGCCCTGCGCGCCGCATTCGCAGCCACCGCAGCCGCAGCCCGGCGCGCCGCAATCGCAGCCACCGCAGTCGCAGTCGCAGTCCGGCGCGCCGCAGTCCAGCCCGCCGGAGCCGCAGTCCGCCGCGGCGCAGTCGCAGTCCGCTGCGGCTCAGTCCGGGCGCGTTCCGCGGCCTCAGTCCGCGCTACCGGCGACCCAGCCCGGGCAGCCGCCGCCACTGGAGCCGCAGTCCGTCGCCGAGGCGACTCCGCAGTCGCAGCCGCTCGCCGCCCTGGGGCAGGAGGTGGGTCGGCTGACGCCAGCTGAGAGGCGCGCTCCGTCGGTCCCATCTGCTACTCAGTTGGGGCACGGCGTTGTACACCCATTGGCCGAGGATGAATTGAGATGAACTTTGCTTTTTCTCTTATGTCGTGCGAAATGGCAGTAGTTTCCATATCACTGCCCCGTTTTGCTATGCATATGATGTGCTGGTTGCTTGCAGTAAGCACCATCGGGATGAGACCCGGGCCTTTTATCCACTGTGTGTTGTGTCCGAGGCAGCACCCCTTCAATACGATATGAAGACCTGGAGGTCCTGTTGGTACCTTGTATTCAAAACCAACTCAATGCGGTCATAACCGCGGCGTTTGCTTCGTCGTCGCGCCGTCTGCTCCCAGCCTGCACCTCCGGCCCACACGTCAGTGTGTTGTATCTGATGGGCCTGACTCGCTGATGCGCCCCGTCCTGCCGGTGACGCTGACGTTGCTGGGCCGCAGCCTGGAGCGAAGTCTGCTGATGTCCCGCCAGCTGCCGCCGGTCGGGTACCCGGGCGGCGTGGCGGCCGGCTACGCGCCGCCGCCGTACGGGGCGCCGCCGCCGCCGCCGCCGGCCGCCGGCTACCTGCCGGCCATGCCGTACGCCAACCCGCCCTGCCCCGGGCCGCCGCTGCACGCGCAGATGGCGCCGGTACGTCGTTCGTTGGCTGCCCGCCGCCGTGGGGCGGCGGTCAGCGGCCAGCGGGAGCAGCCGCGGTGCCCGCGCTCAGTCCGTGTCGCTGTATCGGGGAAGGCGGTATTCGGTGTGGGAAGGTGTGGCTCAGGAGCCTGAGTCGGCGTCTTATGATGTCTTCGGTGTCCCGCTGCTCGCTAACTGCGATATGCCGTATTCGGAGACTTGTGCCTGACTCGTGGCGCATCTTTTAGAGCGTGTCAGGATAGCAGCGCCCCGTCTCGCGCGCGTCATGCTGCCGGCGGACGGCGGCTGGCCGTCACTCGAGACTGGTCTGGCGTGTCCGTACTGATCCT